ACCAAAAAAAAAAAAAAAAAAATCTTGGTCACACAAAATTAAGAGTATAAGAGAGCCAAATTGTCTAAAGTATCGACTTTGGTCCTAGAGTAAAATGCAAGCTAATAAATTCATTGGATTGCGTAGGCCTTGCATTCTCACAAAGTTCTATGAACATTCCATTTTTCAACTTCACAAAACACACACCACCACCGCACCCAAATCCACCCTCCAGAAAAAGCACACACGCATTTTACACGACATATTTATTTTCCTCTCAAATCTGATTCCTGTGAACATTACTGATCACACACACACACATATATAACTAGATATATATTGATTTCTTTTCACTAGGGTTGGACATTATTCAATCACTTTTTCAATCATAGCCATTAATCTTGATTACTATGAATTGTTCAGCAAATATTAGAAATAAGCGCAATGAAGGTGATTATGATTTATTTTAATATAACTTGTATGTATCTGATAAATTGCGCTTATTTCTAATATTTGCTGAACAATTCATAGTAATCAAGATTAAAGGCTATGATTGAAAAAGTGATTGAACAATGTCCAACCCTAGTGAAAAGAAATCAATATCTAGTTATTTAATATTAGTTTGACATATTGTCCATGTCAAGTTCAAATAATGCTGCCAAGTTGATGGCAACCACTTTTGAGAATATTTGAAGGGATATCAAAGATTGTGGAAGAAAATTATATATAAGCATCCCCTGCTAGTATCTTATCCTCATGATTTTCTATTTGTTTATTAATTCCTAAACTATGATAATTTGTTTCGTAAATAATAGATTTTGACTATCCTTGGATACCCTTACTAAAGTTTCTACCTACACCTCCTCTTTAAGCAAGTTCTTAAGATGCCCAAAATGTGATTGATGTGTTACTAAGCAACCTATTGAAAAGGTATAATCTAGATGAGTTCAAACTCTACTTTGTTGCTGGTTTTACATTTTCAACGTGACTAGAATTATATATATGTTCAGATGGTTAAATAAGATTTCATCATGGTGAATCTTTGTTACTTCCATCAATAGAACTATATGAGGAATATTTCTTTTATAACTTTTTTACTTGAATTTCCAATTAATTACAACTTTTCCTTTAAGTTTACATTCTTATCCAAACTCGTGCTGCATGTTCTTCTTCCCCAAGTGGTCATCTTTTTTANAAACCCCCCCCCCCCCCCCCCCCCCCCCCCCCCCCAAAAAAAAAAAAAAAAAAAAAAACCAAGTCTATTTTCCATAATAGAAATGGAAATTTGTAATTTTGGGGAATAAATTAAGGAATTGAGTAAAATGCTAATGTACCGTTTTGGATTAACCATTAACCAAGCTAGAGTTAAGAATTAGACCGAAAAATCGATTAATGAACTAAATTTAAAGCTACTTAAATTAATTAGAAATTTAGAAATATGAAACATTTTAGGGGACCAATAATTAAGTTAAAAACTCCAAAATTTTTGAGGAAAACACCTTCATCACTTTAGTACTTGAGCTATCTCAGCTCTATCACATCAGTGCGAGATGAAGACATGTGAACCTATATAACACCAGTATCTTCATGGCTTGTAAAATCTACTCACATATTTCTGCGACAAAACAATTACATTGTGCAAACTAACTCGTCATGTACATTTGATGTTCTCAAATGTGATATTCAATGCGATCAGCTGAGTTCAGTCTCAATCAAACTAAATTTAACCGTTCAAGTTTTCCTTTTGGTGGATTGGCACGTAACGTAAGTTAGGCATCATCATAGCCTAACCCTACCCTAGAGACAATATTACCAACACGAAACTAATATACAACAAGACTGTTGTCATCAAATTTCTACTTAAATTTCTTTAATAGCTCATGCATGCCCCTATAAACATATTTATAACGTCCTAAACTTACACAAACATATATAACCAATGTATCTTTAACTAAACGATTCAATACGTCATCTAAAGAGTAGAACCAGTGTAAATCTTTAATATATTAAACGAATCGATATGTCATCTGAAATCATCCACGGTTCAGTAAAGCTATTAATGGAACATGAAAATATAATTATAAAGCTAGTTGTATTTCTCTCAATATTAAGTCACTTTCATGTAAGCATTTTTGATGCTATGCTCTTTAATTTCACTCTTAACTATAATTAAATGTAATTATTAGAGATTTGAAGCTCAATGGATGCCCACTAACTTTGACCACAAAGTATATAGGGCATACAAGTAACTTCATTTACTTCACCACATGTAGCACATCCTCTATTGACTCATAGAAATTGCATTGAGAGAAGCAAAGGGTGAGATCCCAACGCTAAAAAAGTTCATATCATCAAAGCCCTATACAAAATCTCTAATATATATCACCTTTCCTTAATCAAAAAGCATGGTGCTAATTAAAGGGTACTTCAATATTTGAGTCAACTTGCACGTTGAGTTAATTAGGCACATATTAGGCACGTGCGCTGCACGGGTTAAGGCCAGACCTCTATATAATGGGACCAATTTAGCCAAAATGATTCACGCCCTTCGCCTTTTCCCTCCACAGAGGCCAATGGCATCATCACTACGGCTCGTAGCTTTGGCGTTGTTTTTGTTCTCATTGTCGTTTTGTTTTGAGATTGAAGGGCATCCAAACTATGGCGATGCCTTAGCCAAATCTTTTTTGTTCTTCCAGGGCCAGAGATCGGGTCGGATCCCTTCGGGTCAGAAGATTTCTTGGAGATCCAACTCTGGGTTGTCAGACGGTTCCGCTGTAAATGTATGCAAAATCATACCATTACAATCTACACCATCAACGTGTGCAGATCATAGCCGATGGTCTGCATGCGTGTCACGGTAGCGAAACACCAATCAACACTGAACACTGTCGAGTGAATCACCGGTCTTTTTTTTGCTTTTCGATATAATTACTTACTAATTAGATAGGATTTATATATATATATAGGCTTCATTGTAGCTTACATTTAATAAGAAACTAAAATTATCATGTGTGCTAATGTTCCCTTTTGTTTCCGTGAAGTGATTTCAACAAAGTAATCGCTGCATATTTTTGTTGCTGAACAGAGGCGGGAATAGTACAGTTATAAGAGGCAACCTTAAAACTAACCCATATTGACATTTCTATTGCGTGACCGTACTTGCATTTCCAATTATAGACTAATGAGTTGCCACGTTGTTTTATACTAACCGGTGCTCAGTAGCCAAATTTATCGAATTTATCCAATTATATAACTAATCATAGCTTTACTACCTAAACAAGCAATCATTCCCTTTTAGATTCACTAATTATGACACCCTAATCCCCGATTATAGAATAAGAACACCTACAATATTTTATTCAATAAAACATGGATCACTAGAGTAATGAGCATCAAAAGCAATTATAATTTTATGCTCTAACATGTAATTCCAAAAGTTGAGTTTGGTTTATCAATTACAGAGGGCTCTCCGCAGAGAACTATTAATTAATTCGCGAAATATTTTATCAGTGCAATCAGATTGTTCGATCATTGCGATCAAATATGGCGCAATCAGAATATTGTATCAATGTAATCATCAGCCGCTAACGGACGCTTGTGCTTGACAAACTGATCAGGTGGACCTCACCGGAGGCTACTACGACGCCGGGGACAACGTAAAATTCAACTTCCCGATGGCCTACTCGACCACGATGCTCTCGTGGAGCGTGATCGAGTACGGAAAACGCATGCACAAGCAGCTCGCCAACGCCAGAGCGGCAATCCGGTGGTCCACGGACTACCTCCTCGAATGCTCCTCCTCGGTCCCCAGCAGGCTCTACGTCGGTGTTGGAGAACCCAACGCCGACCATAAGTGTTGGGAGAGGCCGGAAGACATGGACACACCGAGGAATGTGTACTGGGTTTCGCCAGACAAGCCTGGAGACAAGCCTGGATCGGATGTCGCGGGGGAGACTGCGGCCGCCCTGGCGGCGGCGTCGATGGTTTTCAAGAAGGCGGATAAGGAGTATGCAAAGAAGCTGGTGGCGACGGCGAAGAAGGTGATGGATTTCGCGATGAAGTACCAGGGGAGGTACAGCGACTCCTTGGGAGGGGCCGTGTGTCCATTTTATTGCTCCTATTCTGGATATAAGGTATGAAATATTTCGGTCGGGTACGAATACGGATACGGATACAGATACAGATATGATTTTTTTTTTTTTGAATTTTTAGCAATTTTGTACATCATATAGCTATACATAGATACATGTTATTCTTATTTGAACTGTTTTAATGATTTTGTCAGTAAATACTGTAGACAGTTTGAAAAAATATTGATATTAATTTTACAGGATGAACTGTTATGGGGGGCTGCATGGCTCTACAGAGTGACAAATGATGTGAAATATCTCAGTTATCTGAAGTCATTGGGAGCAAATGATGTTCCTGATATTTTCAGCTGGGATAACAAATATGCTGGTGCTTATGTTCTTCTTGCAAGGGTAAATTTGTAACAGAATTTAGAAACTAATTAAGTAATATTAGTCCATATATTGACAAAATTTTTTTTCCTCTCTCATGCTTTGTGATCAGAAAATAATTGTAGGCAAGGATAGTTCGTTTGAGCTCTTCAGACAGCAAGCAGAGAACTTTATGTGCAAAATACTGCCAGATTCGCCTTATTCATCGACACAATATACCCCAGGTTTGAAAACTTCGTGTTTGGCAATTCTTCAAAATAAGCCAGGCTCATCTGGCTTCAAGATTGACCTAGTTTTTCTAAGACCAACTTTGGTTTTTTAAACGTGTTTCGTTTTGAAACGCCTCCTCATTGGTTTAAAACAAAATTAGTTTTGTTTTAAATTAGCGTCAGGGCTAGTCCGGGCCCAGTTTTGTAGCGGTCGCTAAACACGCTATGCCTTCGACTATGATTACAAGATGATGGTTATTGAAATTGTGGGTTTTATGCAGGAGGGCTTATGTACAAGATGAGCTCTGCTAATCTACAATACGTGACATCTATAAGCTTTCTGCTTTCTACTTATGGAAAGTATATGATGCCCTTTGGTCACACTTTTAATTGTGGGAACCTCTCGGTGAATGCAAATACACTCAGAAAACTGGCCAAACGACAGGTAACTTATTTAGTTGTTTACTTACTTGGTGTTGACTTCAAAACCTTAAGGCCCCGTTTGGCAAAGGTTTAAGAAAGAGGGGTTAATTAAAGAGAATGATTAACGTACTTAGCTGATTCGATAATCTGACTGACTAAATTACTAACCCGTTAAATAAGTTTTATTTTAGCCCTTGTGATCAATTTTAGTGTTTGGGGAATAACAATGAATTTGATTATTTTCTTTATAATTAGAAGGGTTAACTCTTAATCCTTCTAAATAGGAGTATTAGTAAACCCCTCATTTTGAGGGGTTGACTAATTGTAATCCCTCTAGAGAGGTTAGTTTAACCATTCTATATTTTTTATATTCGGCAAATTATGAAGGGCTAACTCACTTTAACCCTTGTATAGATTTTTTGTATTTGGCGGGTTAAGAAGGGCTTAAGTCTCCTTAACCCTTCACTTAACCATTTGATTAATTATTAATGACAAACTAACACTTTTTTCCAGGTGGATTACATCCTCGGACAAAACCCTCTAAAAATGTCCTACATGGTGGGCTACGGCCCACGCTACCCGCAAAAGATACATCACAGAGGCTCATCATTGCCTTCGATCTTCACCTACCCAAACAAAATTGGCTGCCAAGACGGATTCCGATACTTAAATTCGGGCAACCCGAATCCAAACATGTTAACGGGTGCAGTTGTCGGTGGACCCGATGGCAACGACGCGTTCCCCGATGACCGGAACGACTACGCCCGCTCAGAGCCAACCACGTACATCAACGCGGCCATTGTCGGACCTCTTGCTTACTTGGTTGGGAGCTACGGATGATAAGATCAACATGTTGGCTGATATATTTATAACGTGGTTCGCGTTCACACCGCTACAATTCTAATCATTGACATAATTAGATCATAATTATTAATGTAACCTTCCTCTCATTGGAGTTGAATGTAATGTTTGATCTTATCGGGTTCTTGAGTTTATCCGAATAACAATATTGTTTTATGTTTTTCTTATATTTATATATTCAATACGTTCGCTCCCTGCCAAATTTTATCTTCACCACAATATATCAATCGCGACGTATATAATATACGTTTTCTTATGCTTTTTTTTTTCATAATAAAGAGAAATTACTAGAGTGAAGTGTATATCAATCGAAGTATAGTATATATACTTCTAGACAGAATTCTGTCTAGGATACGTATTCTAGACGGAATTCTAGATATTCTAGATGGAATTTTCCGTCTAGGATGCCTCGTTATTTAGTAGTGATAATTTTTTTTCGAAAAGTGCACTTTTCAAATATCATCCTACTTTTTTTTATAGAGGTATTTAAAATATAGTTCACTCCTTGGATAAAACTAACCAATCTTTTATGACATACTCAACTTTCTTTTGATAGTATTCACTTGTAATTTTTTTTTTGAAAAAGATCGTTTTTGAAGCTTTATTAGCAAAATCGACCTTTTGTGGATTTAATTAGCAAAACTGACCTCTTTGGTCGATTTTACAAAATATAGTTTTTAAAATACGCGAGACTAGTAGTCCTGTGTAATTAGTGTTGGCTAATCACATGCTAGTTAAACTTTAAAAAATACACGAGACTAATTTAAATTTTATTAGGGTGTAATTAGGCACCATTAAATACAAGGGACTAGTAGGCTTGTGTATTTTAAAGCTTTATTTTTACAAAATCGACCTCTTTTTGGCAACTGGTCAAAAAAGTCTATTATGCTAATTATATAAAAAATAAGCCAATCTTGTTAATAGAGTTTCAAAAAACGGTCTTTTAAAAAAAAATCTGCTATTAACCCGCCTATGTCTTTTCATGAAATAAAAGGCTCTACAAGAGCCTAGAAGGCCGGCCCACTAACGGCCCATATCTGTACTCTCAGAGCCCTTGAACCCGTCAATCCTCAAATGGGCCTCTCTTCTCTCTCTCTCTCTCTCTCTCTCTCTTTCTCTGTGAAATTAAAAGCGGCAGCAACCATCATCTTCAATCAGGCAAGTAAACCTTGAAACCCATGAAATTTCAAAGCATATTGAATCAATTACAGAGCGTTGTTTTAATTTCGAGCTATTTTCATTTGTTTTTTTTATTTATTTATGTTTAGTTTACATGAAGTCCGTTGTAAATGTGATTTTCTGAGCATTGGCGATCGCCGCGATCCTAAATAATTTATGGGCATATCTCAACTATTGAGCAGAGCCCGTATCCTTGAAAGAGTTAACGAGATTGTCAACAAAACATCTTGGCCAATGTTTCTTTCCTTGATGACTTTAATTTATCAGAAACCCATGAGATTGCAAAGCACGTTGAATCAAGGCAAGTTTCATTTGTTTTTTTTTTTCATGTTTAGCTCACATGTAATCAGTGGTAAATGTGAATGATTTGAGCATGAGTGACTCTGAATAATTTGTGGGCATATGTGAACTTTTCCTCGAGAATTATGTACGAGCAGAACCGTACCCTAAAAAGAGCTAATATCATTGTGTTAGAAATTTCTAGTGGTATTATTGGCCCAAATATCTTTGATTTAATTAACGTGAACCCTAAGAATGAATTTAAGTTTTGTAAACTTAATCAATGTTGTCAATGCGTGAGGCGCAATGCCGGGCGCAAAGCATATTTGCGCTCACATGCGCAAGTCGCAACGTGATGCGCGCGCCCGGGTGACGCGAGGCGCCCACTGCACACATAATTTCTCAATATATAATCAAGCACAAAAGAACATGTTTTTAAAATTTACATGAGAAATATGTCAGGATAAATAATATATTACTTCAAAATCACAATATAATATCTTAATTTCTAATGCTAACACCCAACATAATAACAAAATGAATAAATTTTCAAATCAAATGTTAAATCAAGACTAATATCCAAGCAAATGACTAGTAATGGTCCTCAATTGAAGGCTACTAAAAAGGCCTAATGGATTTATTTTTCTTTTTGAGATATGGATTATCAAGTATAAAGACTCGATTGAAATGTTTACAAACAAAATTATATGAGGATATGTACTACATACACCCTGCATAAAGTAAGGATGTACGCGATGCGCAAAAGGCGTTATTGCATTAGATGTGGGGCGCTTCGCCACTGCCCCGCATTCAAGGCGCATGAGACGTAGTGAGGCACGCGCCTTTGAAAACACTGAACTTAATTTTTGTTCTTTACCTTAGGCGAACCCTCATTGCATTGTAGGAGTTTTTTTTTCCTTTTTTTGGAGAGTGAGAGGAACTTAGGCTTAGTACCAGCCAAGTAAACCCTAGGGCCTAGGGCCCCCTTCTGCAGTCTAGGCCCAGGTGAATAGCACAAGTGTTGCAATACCTAATAATTAGAAATTGGGGATAGGCATGTCATAGACACCGATTGCCACTTAGCCTTTTGAGCTAAGGCCCCAAGCCCCAACCACTAGGCCACTTGCGGCAGTGACTATGCTTTTATCACTATTCATTAATAATTAGCATAAAGTACTTATGTGTACATCTTTGATTCATTGAGAATATTCGTATGTTCCTATAAGATACATTGAAGTCAGATAGTTTTAGAATCATGTATGTTTTCCCCCAAAGTGGTGATGTTTATGTAGAGTTTTCTTATTTTATAGTTTCAATTGTTGATCTATACATTTGTATGTTAAAAGTTGGATTGAGGATCATTTCATATTCACAATTATTGGCATCCATGAGCTGACCGAAATTTCTTTTTTTTAGATGAGAATATTATAAATGTGAAAAAAGTGATGAAATCTCAGCCGAGAGATGCTACTAAGAAGCGTTTTGCTACGACATATATCTCTTGTAAAGAAGAGGGTGATGTCCCAGTTTCATATTAAAATCTCAACATTGAGCTCATGGATAAGAGATCAAGATGAAGAGAGGGGAGATACAGAAGAAGAGTACGAGGAACCCTATGCTGATGTCCCAAGGCCTGCCAAGAAATGGCAAAGAAAGCCATACCCAACACCAGTGAAGGAGTTAATTCGAAGAGCCAAAGAAGAGAAGCGAGCCAGACAAAAGAGCCCATGTCGGCTCCTCGAAAATGCCCCAGAGAATGGCCTCCTCGTTCCTGACCTCATTGAGGTTGCTTACCAAGTATACAACGCCAACGGAATTTTGCTTCTTGGCCTCTCTAAGCTTGTAGATGGTGACTCAGCTATTCCTGTCAAGAAATGCAGGTATATCTCTTCATCTGCAATGTTGTAAATTGCGGGTAGAGCCCCTGTACTATTGCCAAATTGAACCTACTAGTTGTTTTGTTGCAGATAGACCTCCTGAGAGTACTTTTGTTGCAGATAACCCCTGCACTATCGCCAAATTGAACTTACAATTTCATCCCATCTACCAAACTACCGCAGATAGACCGCTTTAAAAGGGTTAAAAAAATTCATACATGGGATATATCTGCAACAAGAGAACTGCAGGGGCGGTAAGTTCAATTTGGCGATAGTACAAGGGGTCTATCCATAATTAACCCTGGTTAATACTTTGGATGTGGATATACGTGAATTTTTCTTGATCAGGTTTTGTTCTGAAGTGCACATAGGCCACCATGGCCACGAGATTAGGTCTTGTGAAGGAAAAGAGAGTGGTTCGAGGAATTCATTCCATGTGTGGACAAGAGGAGGCATTCGAGATATTGTTGGTTTCCCATATTGTTATCATCTCTTCGACAGGGTTGGAAAGCCTAGAATTGGACATAAAGAGAGATTTGGGATCCCGAGACTTCCAGCTATAACAGAATTGTGCGTCCAAGCCGGATTAGCTTTAGATGATTACCCAACAAAGAGAAGGACTAAGCCCGTGTACTCAATTGAAGGAAGAATTGTAGACTTCGAGCCAGAGACAGAAGAAAATGTCACTGTAGAAAGAAATTACAACCAGGCCCATCTACATAAAAAACATGAAGAAGAGATGACAAGAGCTGAATGGAGTCAGAGAACATTGCAAGCTTGGTTTGAGATGAGATTAGGAGCAAAAAAGATAATGAAGAAATATAGTGTTTGGACTTGTGGCTATTGTCCCGAAGTTCAAGTGGGTCCCAAGGGACACAAGGTGAGAATGTGCAAAGCAGTGAAGCACCAATTTCGTGATGGTCAGCATGCTTGGCAAGAAGCCACCATCGAGGATTTGATCAGGCCGAACTATGTTTGGCACGTGCGTAGCCCGGATGGACCTCCTCTTTCAAATGAGCTGAAGAGGTATTACGGAAAGGCGCCAGCTATTGTGGAGCTTTGTGTTCAAGCTGGTGCATGTGTCCCTGAGCAGTATAGAAGTATGATGAGGTTGGATGTTATTCCTCCTGAGCTTGATGAACATGATTTGGTCGCATGAGGTTCTTGGGAACTTATAGAACTGAAGGAAAGATATTGATCGACAAAGCGTGAAGTACATAGGTCAGTTCTTTAAAATTTCGTGATGTTGCTGTCGTTTATTTCATTTGTTTTGTTCGTGTGTTCATATTCTGAAACTGTTATAACTTAGTATAGCAATGAGAAAAAATTTCTGGGTGCTTGGTGAAGGGACGATGTTGATAGACATGAAACTTTATGTGCATCGTTTATGCACACAACTTGCTAGTTCTTTCAGAGATTTTAGAGCATGGAAAGACATATCATTAAACTCATGGAAAAGCATTGTATCTGTGGTTGTTCCTCATGTCATAATTTGTCCTCTATCTCGGCCCGTTATATTTTTACTTATTTGATCAGTTTAGTTTGCTCAACCAACTACCGTCTGGTTTGCTTATGTTTTTTAATACAAACATCAAATTGATACTTTATTAGTTACCTTGATCGCCAATTACACCAGTTGGCCAATGGGTATTTAAACATCAAATTGACGCTTGTCCAGTTCATCTCCCTGGCTCATTTAAGCTTATGAAATTTAAATAAATGAATAAACGAAATCTTTGAGTTATGTTGGGTGATGGATTTAACAGTAATGCAGCCTAATCTTGAGGAGGTGCCAATGAACCTGTAACAAAGTTTAATAGCCCAAGAGAAGAAATGTGTTATGACCTGATAATTACTTGCTTCTCTCAAGTCTTGAGGAGGATTTCCTTTTTTTTTTTTTTTTTTTTTTTTTCTTTTTTTGCACTGCATTATTTAGATGTTGATTTCTTTGTACTTACTATGCACAATGTAACTCTTGGTATCGTACAAGATATTGCAAGGGGGGTGCGGAGAAGTAATGATAAATTAAATGAAAATGATGTTTGCTTAGTTATTTGTATATATTTATTTATGGCCTGTGTTATCTGCGTACGAGTGCAGTCATAGGTTATACTTCATTACATGAGCTGGGGAGATATCAATGGAGACGATGAAGCCATTATCACTGAGGAGTTTGCCTCACATCTTTAATTAATTTAGATTTTCCAGAAATACCACTGGTAGAATTATCACGCATTCTATATTTTATATCACAAATAGAAGTCCTAGATGCTAATATTTGTTGTTTGTGGAGCTCTTCTTTGTCTTTGATGTTCATTCATTTACTTTTACCATGTTTTTCCCGCACTGGAAGAATTGATGGTAAATAATCGTAGCTCACAAATTATGAGTTCTTTTGAATTAAACTCACCCTCTTCTCAATTGTGTCATGAAGATTTTGTTTTGGTTAAAATATACGTATGATCAATTGAAATATTGGAAGAAATTGATAATTTTCATAATCATAAGTTCTCAAACAAATTCTTTAAATTAACTTCAACCGTCTTAGAATTCTACCTAAATTTTTTAAATTAACTTCAACAGTCTTAGAATTCTAAAAGATATAGTGGTGATCAGTCTTTTTTTCTTTTTGAGCCCGACTCAAACCTCTAAAGCAAAAACCAAGGAGTCACGCGCTCAGCATAGCAATTATATCAAAAATAAAGATTAATCAAATTTTTTATTCAACCTTAAAGAATTAGAATTTTGTTTTTTCTTTATTTTTTTAATTCAATGGAAAGAAAACGAAAACTATTTTTTTCGTTAAATCACTAGGCTGAATGGCAAGATAAATAAATGTCTATTATTATTCGTCCATAAATATCCAAATTTTTAGGCCTAATACCCATTGATAGTTCGAATTGAATAGAAACAATGATTAATTGTGGCATGACTTGTACATAACCTATTGAACGGTGTCAACAAGGTAAGGTTTGTGTTTGTTTTGTGAGTAGATGTAGATTGTTGGGGGTCTGAATTGGTTTTGTGAGTGACAAGATTGGAGTTTGTACTTCTTTTGACTTTTTTGATAATGAATAAAATCTACTCTTCCGAATTGCAGGAGAATGATTTTTTTATAATCTCGAAAACTTTAGAGACTACATTATGTTGTTATTATTTTTTTGTTTTCTTTACATTAACAACTTTCTTGTTTCATACTACACTAGTGAACACCGGCATTTTTTTTCCCCGCTACAGCAATCCGGTTTTTAACTACTGCAGTATTTTCTAAATTACTACAGTATCCTGCTTCACTACAGTATTCCTATGTGCTACAGTTTTTTTGAAAATAATTTCGTGTTGCTACAGTAATATTGTCACTGTAACATGAATAGTGACTTTTGGATTCTCCCATTTGGATAGAGGAGTAGATTATTTAAACTGCTGACTACTATCAATGACTTTCCTATTATACTTCTTTTTCCCCATTCATTCTTTCTTCTGCTACCTTGTCCCCGTGAATTTAAAATATGAAGCGTCCGTCATTTAAGCAGCTAGAACCGCTTCCCAAGAGAAATCATGAGGGGGAAAAAATGTTGCAGAAAAAATATGAGAATATTAGTATTCAATTGGAAGTGTTGAATGTTAATGCAACATATATGATGTATCACGGATATTTTCTAAGTATACATGATAAACATTGCCACCACGAACCATAAAAACTGAACAATTATACATCTAACTGTTAAACAGGAATAATAATAATAATAATAATATAAAAATAAAAAACACAATCCACACATTTTCATTGCAATTGATTTTCTACAAGAGATGCAAAACATCGTCACAGATACGCCGACCGATACAAAATATCATCTATTTCTATACACACCGTCTCTAAAACCATGCAATGCAACAGGTTGCTCTCTAACCCGCGACAAAAGAGCCGAAACCTCCTCAAACACAGCATCCAACCTCTCCTTCGATTTGGCGGCTTCAGATACAAGACACGAAACCATAGACTGCAGAGCCTGAACCCTCTCAGCCTGCTCATTTACAGTCGCCACCTGCACTAATCTCGAAGGCAAACTGTTCACCCTCCTCCATCTAATAGGCAAATACCGATCAGGAATCTGAAAGCAATTTAGCGTCGAGAGCACCCTTAAAGAATGCCTACACAAAATTCCAGAGAATTCAAACATCTGACAACTGCAAGAGAGGAGATCATCTTGAGATGACCAAATCACTTTCCTACCACCGTCTATTTTTGTGTGGTGGCGGACGAGGAAACAATTTTCTTCCATTTGGAATGAGGCGTAGTGAGCGGCCATTACGAGCTCATCTTGGAGCTTGGAGAAAGCATAAGGAGTGAGAACTGTAGCGGCGTGAGCTTCCATTGGAGCACCGGTTTTGAGGCAGATGTTTTGTAGGTTTTGTTGCATTGTTTGTTGTTCTCCGGCTTGGTCTCTAAAATCAACAGCCACGGCGACCTGCAAAATTTTAAACGTTAGCGAAAACCCTCCTAAACTTTCAAACTTTTACAAAACATCTCTGGAATATTTTGAAATTATCATAAATAACATGGGGGTAAAAGTCTAAAACTATTTTTGTTGCTCTCTGCCTACACAAACCCGAAAAACTCTCGAATAAAATTAAAAAGTGCATAAGGGAAAATTTGTGCAAAATCATGTCACTTGTAAAGCACATGACAACTCAAATTATCTGTCAGTCATGGTACTTAAGTGAGACATATCCAGGGGGTTTTCTATAATTTATAAAGTTTAGGGAGTTTTAGGGCAAAGCACACCAAAGTTCAAGGGGGTTTTGTGAAATTTACCCAATCTTGAGTTGTATTAATTGAAAAATGCTATTCACAATATGGAAATTTTGAAAGCATAAAAGGAAAATTTTGTTTATTGAACAAACATAAGAAGGAACTCGACTATTTAGAGAACATGATAGTTTCATGATTATACTTTTATGGTATCATAAAACAGCTTCATAAAATGACCACAGAAAAACTGATCCAAGTGATTTTATCCAGAACTCATTTTTTTTTTAAATTCACATTTCTAATTTATCTAGTCAACCATCTAATTCATATAGGTATATTTGGAACACTAAAAGCACTAAAATGATTTTGTTGAAGTTGTATGGACTAGCCAACAAAAGCACTAAGCCACTAACACATTATTTTGATCTCATCGATATATCTAGCATTTATAGAAAGCCAGATTTTCGAATTTGAAAAGGTAAGGAAATCGAGATATACCTGTTCAATGAAATGAGCAAGTCGACTCTGCGCACTGAGGAACCGCTGAATGAAAGCATTTATCGATTTTGACAGGCCAGATGCAGTCATTGCAGCAAAGAAATGGCTTCTCAAATATGGCAAAGCCCAAAGCATCCTAAACGCAAACAAATTGGATATGTGCCTGTTTGTGTGAAGCCCAAAGGAGTCCACCATGTCCCTCCATCCCAGCTCAAAATCTTCTATTTCTTCCAAATTATAGAGCCGATAGAACTCGCTCTTCCACTCATTATATCGCTCTCCGAGAACTGCATTGAACCAAGATGGAAATTTTGCGACAATGAGCCAAATGCAAAGGGCATGCTTTGTTGTTGGCATTTCTACTGCTATCGCTTCTTTGAGACACATGTTTTGGTCAGTCAGAATTGTCTGAGGTGCTTTTTCATTCATGAAACTTAGAAACACCTGCCATATGTAAATCAATGGAGTCAATGTAACCTATTGTTCTAAACGCTAAGCAAATCCCAATATGAATAAAGATAAGCCTTTATTTCCAAGATAATATATGAAGATAGATGGACCGTCTAACTAGTTAATAAAATTCGAATCAGATTCCAGAATTGTATACATATAGTAGAGAATAAGAAAATTGCACATGTACCTTGCAGTCATCAAGTTAGTTAATTTTTTTTTTCTCCTAAACACACATTCTCATGCTATATCTCCAAGTTAGAGGATTTAACACTAGTTTAGCCATTGCATAATTCAAGATTTTGCAGATGCATTAAATGCTTTGTCGACTTTCAGTAGCACAATAACTGCAACTTTAAGCAAAAGCACAAAACAAATCTAAAATGAATTTGGAAGTGAAACCATTTATGGATAAGATATTGACACATTCTCTTTCTCTTCAAAAGAATATTTAGAAGTGAAACATTTTGTTTTTCAATTTTCACTTGATTCAGATAGCTTTTAACTTCGATGTAACATAAAACATTTGGATAATTAATTATGCTATCCTCAAACTATAAGCTGAAATGAATTTGATAACGTGACTGTCTTTGTGTAATTTACGGTGGGATCTAAATTCAATTTTACATACGAAATTGATTTTTAATCAGATTATCAGGTTCGAATCTGAAAATATCCAAATCCACAAAGGAGTTATCTTATCAAGTTCAACTTCGAAGTCCAATTCCAATAATTTTCTGGTGACAGGAATAGTATTGCGATGAGAAATGGAGAAAAAATTACCTTTAATGCCCATGAAAAAGATGGCACATTCTCCTCTCTTAGAAGCACACAACCAAAGAAACAAGGCATGCCATAATTGTTCATTCCCACCCAAATACCAAGTGGCATGTCGAAAGCATTTAGTCTATGTGTTGTATCAAACACAACTGCATCTCCAAAAACCTCATATGACTGTATTGATGAAGCATACGACCAAGCAATATTCTCCAATCTATTACTAGCATCTACAGTGAACTCATATCTAAAGTTAGGATCTTTTTCCTTGATGTTCTTGCACATTCTAAGGAGATCAATACTCTCTTCCTCTTGATCCACTTTTCTAAATGACTGAATAAGGTTTCTCACATCCTTCTCCGTGAAAGGCAGAAATCCGGGTTCTACACACTTCTCGAGCTCCATCAGTCTCATCATCTGCTGAACTGAAATCCCCGTTTTTGCAAACATAAAGATCCTGTTCTTATCACTATCTGATATGGTTCTATAAGCAGGAAGAAATCGAACTTGATTAGGTTCTAAGAGATCATGATTATGATTATTGGCAAAGCCTGTGACCCTCCATTCTGAAACTCCCATATCAGTGTTCTTGCTAATTCTCAAGTAAGCTTGACATCCACAACGAGAAGATTTCCTATTTCTCTGTGGCTTAGTTTCATTCGAGACCTTTATTGGAGTATTGCCAGCTCGATGGCAGACGAAGTATCGCCTAGTTAGTCCTTTGCCGACCCCATCTTTTCCCTCGGTTCGATGACGGCGTATTGAGAAGCCAGATTGCTTGGCGAATTGGCTATAGAATTCGTAAGCAGCATCATGGGTATCAAATCTCTGGCCAATGTAAGGAATGGAGTCGTTTGATGTCTCTAAGGAGAGCCTTGTGTCTTCTGGAGATTCCTCCGTGCTGCTAGTTTCATCGAGAGATAATGATCTTTGTTCTGAGGGATCATCGTAGATGCTTAACATCGCCCTGGTTTCTTCAGACATAAGCATCATAGCAAATTGGAAGGTCTGCAGGTCATCATGTCGGATTTAGGTATACAAAGTACAAGAGCAGATTTTTTTCTTTTTTTTGGGAACATCGAGTTAAATATATAGTAACATCATGCCATAAAAAAAGAAGTCGCAAGGTGAAAGATAAAGACAAGTTTTTCTTGATGAGAAAGCAATTAAAAAAAGGATACCATATTTGAGCTAAAGAAAATGTCATGTAGAATTAGTTCCAGTTCGAAAAATGTTAAAAATGCATTTGTCAGAAGAAGCAATTTGAATGACAGATATTAATAAATAATTTAAAACTACTGTGGATTCAACCATTAAAGCATCATAGCGCACTAAGGAACGAATGAAAGGAGGAGTTAACTATAGAAGCTACCAGTGTACAGATGTCTAGCGATATATTTAAATTTACATTCAATATTTCTATTTTGGGTGAGGAGTAGAGTCTATCACGAATAATTGGCGTTTGCAGCGAAATGGGTACCTGTGTACTCTGGGTTATCACAAGAAGAAAAAGAACTCCAACTGTCTATCAATAAAACAATCGGCAAACTAGCATTGTAATTTCCCTCAAATACTGCTCATGCTGATGCATTTGTCATGTTGATGCATTTCTATTATAACCTAGATGCACCATTGAAACAATCAAGCATTCAGTAGTGCTACAGTCCTCAACTACTCCACGTTCGAAAGGATTTCTCCATATGTTCATTTAAGTTAGACGACAGTAATTTTTTCACTAACTTGTCATTTTTGGCCCTTCAGTACTCAGTTCTTGCTGCTCCATGAATAAAATGCAGCGACATGAAATCTTTGTTTGTGAGCTGAAAGCCAGTGAAGGCAAGCATTCAATTTCACAGTCTCCCTTGAACAACATAAGAGACGCATCACTAGTATAAGAGCAATCATCGCTCTTAAAAAGAGACCCACCAGTTCTCAACCAATTTTTCAAACACTTAGTAAATAACTGCAAAGCTAAAATACTTCCATCTTTTAAGTAGAACCAGTGCCTAAACATATATGGTTGCTTTCGCAAGAAATGGGTAACCTTCAAATATAATCTCTAGCTATTCTAAATTTCTAATGGCTCACTCTTAATGATTACTTGAACTTGTTAAAACGTCTTCCATTAGCTTCTCCCTCAAATAAAAGAAATGTTATTACTATTATGAAAAGACAACAACTATCACTACTTAGAACATGGAGTTATTTCAAAGACATATTCAGTATTTAAATGTACTTCAATGAAATGCAAATATCGACAGACAAAAATACATGGAATAAACTAAACTAAGAACTAGCAACAAAGAATTTAACTCAAGTAAATAAAGAGAATATGCACAAGTTTACAACAAAATAGTTAGGAACTTGATTGCCATTATCATAGTCCATCACTCTTTTTTTTTGCTAAAATTTAATCCCATAATTTCCAGAGAGAAAACCCATCAAGCATCATCTTTTTGAAAAGAAATAAACTTGTACACTCGTTGCAAGAGCTCTGAAAATGAGATTAGAATGCAATTACAGTTTAAAAAAAATTTAACTGACCCATCTCCAAATTTGGGTCAAAAAAATTCATTCTCAGAGCGAAGGAGATTAATATTACCTATGTGATCAAGGATTGTGCATTTCTTGCTCTGAGAATTCCCAAAATATGCAAGTTTAGAGAGAGAAAGAGAGATCTAGAGAGAGAGAGAGGGGGGGGGGGGGGGGGCAAACCCTAACATGCGCTGGAGGAGAACCCTAACATGCGCTGGAGGTGAACAGAGGAGATTGTCGTGTTTAGCAATCTGAATAATCGTCAGCCGTTGATTTAATCGATGGGACTTATTTTATTTAGATCTATATACTACGTTTTTTTTTGTGAAGAGCCCCATCAGAAGTATGGATAAGGAGAAATGTTAAAAATAGACATATTTACAATTTTATTCCCCAAAATCAACTTATTATAAATTTATTTATAAAAATCGATCTAGTTTCGACCACATCAACAGCATGGGCTGGTCGATTCTAAAAAAACGCTTCTTTTTAATTAGGGACAAATTTTCAAAACCGACCCCTTTGGATTTTTAATTGCAAAAAACGACCTATTTCAGTTTTATTTATAAAAACCGACCCAGTTGGTTGAAACTGGGTCGGTTTTTGAAATTTTTTCTTCCAAACTTCACGGGAGTTCAACTCCCGTGAAGTTTTGTTATGAGAAAAACTTCACGGGAGTTCAACTCCCGTGAAGTTTCCCAAAAAAATTTAAAAAAACCGACCTGTTTTCAGCTAAATAGGTCGGTTTTTGTAAATATTTTCAAAACCGGTCGTTTTTTGCAATTAAAAACCCAAAAGGGTCGGTTTTGAAAATTTGTCCTTTTAATTAGCCGATGTTGCCAAACCCGACTAATTAGACGCTACTTTAATTACACGTGTTAGTAGTAGAGACTGAAACTGTAGTTCAAAATAGTCACACTTGCCAACCACGACTATTAGAAGGCTAATTAGTCAGGTTCCTAATTAGTCGATGTTGGCAACTCTGACTAATTACAAAAAAAAATCTTTTGATCCAGTTAAAACTGTGTAGACTTTTTTGAATATGTTCAAAATGGGTCCATTTTGATGAATAAAGTTATAAATGTGTCTGGTTTGAAAATTTCTTCTATGGATAACTAATTAGGAAACCTATTGTAGACTCACTATTTTGGCCCATTTTCTTTATGTACCCCTTTTCTTTCTTTTCGACACCTTATATTTCTTTTCGTTCTCATAAATGCACTCGATGTGTTAAAATAAGCCAAAGAAAATGTATTCCCTGCATAATACACCCAAAGTTATGGTTTTCCCCTTGGATATAAATGAATATGTGTGATGTTATGAATGGTGGCTTTCACTAAAGGTAATAAATTTTGAATTTAATAAGAAAATCCTATATTAGATGGTCAACGGAAATGTGTACAAAATATCTATGTATCTAAATGGATAAGAATAAATAAGGCTTTGTTTAAGGTTATCCCTCCTTTATGTATATGTTTGGTGTAAAAATTCGATCTCCCACTTGAGGGTCGTTTATATTTATAAGAATGACTTATTACAAGCTAAAAATCAAACGTTTACAATAGAGGAGAAGGGAATGACCCTTCTTGTTTAACGTGGGTGCGTTGACAGGCTGACAGCGGTAGGACGCCCCCCTCGGTGCTCGCGCCGAGTTCGCTTCCCTTGGACGATCCGATCGAAGTTGCGGTTGGAGCTTCAGTACGCAGTAGAAGCTCGGTTGGATGAGTTCGACGACCGAGCAATTGCTTGATTGCTCGGAGCCTAAGTATGCTGAGATCTCAAAGTTCGGTCCTCTTCAGCTGAGGATTCGAACGAGATCACGAACAAGCTGATTGCCGAGGAGTTTTGCAAAGAGCCAGGCTCGGTTCTCTTAGAGCTTAAGAGAACTGATTGCCAAGGAGCCAAATGGGTTCAGTCTTGATCAAGAGTCCAAGACCCCTCTTTTGACAGCCATCATTGGCTATTTATAGTGAAGGAGAAGCATGGTCACTCCCTCAATGTGTGGGATTGTGGTTGAGGGGGACCATAACTCCATCCCTTAAATCTTGGGATGTGACCATTAGAGGTGAGGAGAACCATACTCCATCCCTTAGATCATGGGGAGTGGGTGTACTCACTCCCACGTTTTAAGCTCAAGTGGCTGACTTGGTCTAGCTGTACAGGCGAACCTGTGTAGGCGAACCTCATTCAGGCGAGCTTCAACGCTATCAGGCGAGCTTGTCCTTCAGGCGAGCCTGGGTCATGTAGGCGACCTTCAAGCTATCAGGCGGGCTGAGCTATGTAGGCGAGCTCCGAGTGTTGACATGTGAGCTTGCTCTTCAGGCGAGCTTGGCCCTCAGGTGAGGTTATGCGGGCAAACCTCGTAGGCGAAGCTGTGCAGGCTAGCTTCGCTTAGTTCGGACGAGCTCCAATGTTCAGGCGAGCTCTAGCCTTGCAGACGGACTTCCTTACAGGAGAGCTTCAGCCTTTTTTGGCGAGCTTCAGAACATGCATCGAAGAACAAGTCATAACTTTCAAACCGTAAGTCGGAATTGGACGAATTATATATAAAAATCGACTATCTCGACGAGACGAAGCCGACCAAACCGACCCCAAAGGATTCAGTTTGCTCCTGTCCGTTTCGCCAAATTCCTTCCGGTTTGAGATATTTTAGCGTTTTTCCTTTTTTTTGCTATTTTCGGACTAGGTTTTAGCAGTCTTGTTCTGAACTTCTCTGATAGGGATTAAAGGCAATTTTTATTGCCTACAGTATACTGAGGAATTGGTGGTTATTGTTTTCCTTTTTTATTTATATGGACTCAAACCTGAAATCTTGGGAACCATACTAGAACTTCTCAATCATCTGGATCACTCATGGTTCGTGAAATTAGTGGTCTAAAGACATAAAATGCTGATACATGTCATTCTTAAGAGCACAAAAAATTAATATGTGACATAGTATAAATAGCCATTTGTTCCTCTATCTTATCAGAAGATGACATGTATGTACCTAATCTAATTTTCACCTAAGAATTATCATCAAATTAAAATATCTATAATTAAAAATTCTAATAATTAAATATTTGGTAATCAGAATCAAATTATAGCTATCCATAAGTTAAAAAATATGCTATAAAAAATTAAAAAAAATCTAATTATCACATATGTAGGTGTAGAAATTAAAGAAAATAATTCATGTAGAGAGTATCTCTACATAAAATCATGCATGAACAAACGTACACATGCCAATGTAAATAAAGAACTTTAAAATTACAAATCAACCCTTGAGAAGACAAAAATTACAGAGAGACTCCTAAATCTAAAAATTACAGATAGCCCATAAAAAACTACAGACAGCCCAGAAACAAATATAGACAATCCCTTGGAAGTCCATGAATTTGCAAAGATCCTATAAAAAGAATTATATATGTATCCCCCCAAAAAGATTAATTACAATTACCCCTTAAAATATAAAAATTGCAAAGTTCACCTAGAAAAATCTAAAAGTTAAAATAGCCCAAAAAATATTTTCAAAATTGCAAAAGCCTCTTTGATAACATCTTTAATTTTAAAAATCAAATTGGAGATAGACTCCTAAAAACAAAAAAATTGTAAACTTTCCCCTAAAAGATAAGAAAATTACAAACAATCGCCAAAATGATTAGAGAATCACAAACAAATCCTACAAAAATTGAAATTGCAAAGAATTTTTAAAATTCAAAAAACCTTCTGGAAGCTCAAAAATTACCAACAATTCCTTGAAGAATCTAAAAACTACATATAACCCTCTTAAAACCCAAATTACAAAATAAATCTAAAATAAAAAAAACTTTCTATTGCGCCCCTATAAATATAAAATTTTCAAACATACACGTAAAAATATGAAAATTCCATAAAAATCAAAAAATTACAAAAAACTCTTTGAAATTTCCAAAATTTCAAACAACCCCTTGAATAATAATAACTTTTCAAAAGATCCTTACAATTTGAAGATGGCAAACAACACTCTGAAAAATTTGAAAACTATAAATAGCTAACAGAAAAAAAATCAAAATTAATAACCTTCACTGGGGAATTTTGCAGAATTTATTGGGGGTTAAGACAAAACTTAAATATTATTAGTGTTTCTCCCAAAATTAACCAAAATGACTAATATCAAAATATTAAAATATTTGACGGACTAATTCGAAGTATGAAGATTTTGGAAGTTAATTTTATAACTATAAATGATTTGGAGGATTGATTTCAAAATATCAAGCCTTGGGACTATTTTCAAAATATCAAAGATTTTGGGGACCAACATCGAAGTAGCCCTAAATTGCAACGGTGATATTGCAACAACCACACAGTTTCAAAGAAAAAAGTAGTTATGAGCTAAGATGTAGTTAGCAAAATATGGAGCAATTTTTGCAATAAGTATTTACATAGGGCTAAAATTAGTACTCCAAAAAAGTAATTTTTGGAGCAACAACATATATGCAAGCAAAGATATTACACCCACCCCATGCGGATACGAGCACAACACTTGTAGTTGTTTTAAAGGGAGAAAATTAATTAAGGGTTTAATAATAATTTGGTGGCCAACTTGACCCTCTAGATACTTTTATGATGTACTCCTAAGAACTTTCTTGTATTTCCAGAGTATAATTGATACCTTCTGGATTAAAATTGTAGAATCTTGTATTCAATGCTTGGGAATTAATTGACTATATATATCTTCTTAGTGAAATAAAATGTCCATTTGGTATTCTTAGAATATTGTATCATAATTTTGTTAGATATAGGTGTCCTGCAGGCAATAATTGTATATTATAACAGGACCTATATGAATATAACATCTATAGGTGTCCTGCAGGCAATAATTGTATATTATAACAGGACCTATATGAATATAACATCCTTGTTCAAAATGATAGTTGCAGGTAATTATTGTATATTGTAACAGGACCTATATGAATATAACATCCTTGTTCAAAATGATAGTATGCTATTTTGGTCAGATTTATCTGGTATTTTCATACAGATAAAGTCCTTAGAATAATACTAGACTATCAGAAATTTCGGATATGATCGTAATGAAGAGATCTGATTTGTCGTTAACGTATATTCTAAAATGTTCCTAGTCAATGAAGTGTTGAAATGAAGACATCATCACTTTGGGAAGACTAGTGTATACTCTATTTCTCCTTTGGTAGGATGCTGATCCATCTCTTGGATCATTGATGTGAGACATCAAGATATAGTATACAGGTGACTCATTAATGAATGAGTTGACTGAACGACTCACTGAGAACATCTAGTTGGTAATTATACTTAACTGTCAAATAGAAGTTCTCAAGTGATATAGTACATAGTAGTCTCTTGACCTGAGGTATGAGTACAATATCTTACATGTCAGTATAGGTGTACTTAGACTTTTACCTAACCACAATTCTCGAGTTGTGCATAACGGTTCTTGTTGGGTACATCCCGAGACATAAGTAGATATTGAGATGCCAATATAGGATTCGTCTCTTCCAGTATAGGGGGTTAATGTCATAAGATTGTTTAATATAACTATAACATAGAAATCCTTGGCCGAGGTAAATAAGATAAACTGAGTGTCAGTTTGATCTTATAGGTTATGAGTTTAATATCAACAAACACTAATTGAGCAATTAGGGTTTGACAGTTTTCCATACCCTAGGCTCAATAGTTTGACATGGTTTGACGAAGAGATTGGACTGTACGACATTGAGTAGTCCTGATAAAATTGGATAAACATCTTGCAAACTTTTATCACAACTCATATCCGGATAGTCTTCATGTGCAGCTAGCACCTTTGTTGTACTTGTGGATATGATCCACTACTGAGTTTTTGAGTTGGGCCCTAGAGTCACACCAAGCGCGTACTTGAATCCTATGAAACATAATTTATAGAATGATGCGTATGATTGATACGCATATATGATTTTTTTTACCGGATACACATAAACGATTATGTATATCGGTAAAATCGGAATGCTATGTGCTTAGGAAATGAATTTCAGTATTTTTCCCATAAAGTTAATGTTTACTCAACTAGTTGACTTTTTGGTTAACAGTTGACTTTTGGTCAACTCTTGATTTATTTGGTCATATAGTGACTAATTAGTTAAAGATTGGAATAATACTATATACCGTATTTATGAAATACTGTATTAGTAATAATAATTTGATATTCTCATTTATGAAATACACATACCATGTATAATGAGTCATGAGATGAGTCACTTAGTGGTATGGTTTGAGCACAAGGTTTATTAGCACATGGTTTTGAAATATAATGATTCATAAGATGATTCATTGCATGACTCACTTGATTAATCATTAATTTTTAATGATTCATTGCATGACTCATAAGATGAGTCATTCATGTCATGAACACATTTCACTCTATAAATATGAGCTCTCTCTCTTCATGAAAGGCTAATAAAAATTAAATTTCTATAAGAGAAAACAAGAGAGCTATACCTCTTACTAAACTCTAGCAATCTTTGAGTAAGAGGAAGTAGTAGGATTTTAAGAACCCAGGGGTGAATATCTTGCCTCGCGTCTCAAGCAGCATCCAATAACTTTCGGGTTTACTTAAAGAGTTGGAGATCCACTACGAGGAGTTTTCTGCATCAAAGAGAGCAAGTTAAAGGTTGTTCGATTCACTATCGAATCACGCTACAAAAGTATGACTTTCAAACCTTGTATGCTCTCTTAACAATAAGAATCATGTTAGATTTAATTAGACGGTCCATATGAATATCTCATGCTCTCTACATGCTTAGTAATTTTTTTTTATACATGTCTTCCGCTGTGTATTATGCATGTAGACATAGCACGATTTCCTTCAAATTTATACTCTGACATTTATGTGTAGGTTGAATATATATCTTTTCATGACTCACACGGTCTTTAAGTCGGATTTAAATATGTGGATAGTAGGGTTTGAATATGAGTTGCTTCCATGTTAGAGTCCCGCCGATTGTATCAAAACTTCAAAGCTATGGTGATGATTAAGGTTACGGTTCTAGCGTATAATTTTTGAGCGTAAATAAGCGATTTATATAGTTTTTTCCTCTTCCCTTATAGATTTTCTTTTTCCTGAGAGTTTACTTATGCAGAAGAGAAGTCTAATAAAAGTGTAAAGGTATGAAAAGGATAAAAACAGTCCAAACATCATTTCAGTCAGCTCCTCACAAAAGCAAGAGGCAGTTTATGTGAAAAACCCGCAGGAATCAGATTCACAGCAACAAAAAAACAAAGAGTTGGGTTACAAAAACTACACAAAACGATAAAATCTCTGCATATGAAGGGAAAAGGCAACCTCCTTCCTTCTTGTAGAATGCATTGTGAATACATCCAAAGAACCACTCAAAGAATACAGACCCAATTGGTTAAATTTGGTTCAAAGTAGCAAAAAATAAAAATAAAAAAATAAAAACCATGCCATAGATTCTTTGATGCTAACAATGTTTAGATGGTCTATCTAGTTTAATAGTGACACAATATTATTCTAACTATCGTGAATAAGGTAACCAATTATGAGAAGTTATGAGATTATAATTAACTGAACCAGAGATAAAAGATGTGTGATTTATAAAATATATAGGTGCTTGTTGTTAGATTAACCAAAGGACGACTCTTAAAACAGCTGAATAGAGGGAAATGGATTCACACACTCATAAAACATTTCAAGATAAATTTTTTGTAATTGTTGTCACAGTTATTTTGCCTTTAAAATACCAACATTAGAGGTATATAAACAAATTAATGCTCCACAAAGTATGTCACCTTGTCGTGCTCAGATTCCATAAAAGCTCAAAGGATACCGAAAAGGGGGAGAGAGAGCATTTTACACTTGAAAAGGACAACTGCATCAATGCTTTCACCTCCATTCACCTTTATCCTTCTTTATAGCTGGCCTGTGTCTTTGTTCTTCTCTCATCTCTGCCCTCCGTTTGCTCGGTTTTGTTCTTGAGAGCGGCAGAAATGGGGGCTCCTTTCAGCCCAGAAACAATAATGACAAAATATTTTGATTATTTTCGTTGTTTGGACTGAAGGGAGCTCCTAATTCTTCTGTTTTTATTTGTTGTGTACTGGTTTTTTTTTCTAGCACTGGCTCTGGTGCTGATGCCACTGTAAGTTTATGTTGCTCCATGTTTTTTTTTTTCCTTTCAAGGGGTAGTTTAAGATAACTGTTAGGTTCTATGTATGGTGAAGTTATCACATGGTACGAAACCGAAAAAATTTAGAAAAAAAAAATGAAAAATTTTCAGTTTCACTTTTTTTCTTGAGCCTCATAGGTCCTGTTTTCCCTTTCTGATGCAAAAATACTGGTAATAGGTGTTGAGTAAATTATCAACTTCATCAAGAAATGAAATGATACAATCTTAATTATGGAAAGAGGGAAGGGAAAAAAAGGAACTAAAAGTATGCTTTAGTGATAACGAATCTTCAGTAACTAAGAGACAATTATACATGTTTGGACTTTGGCTTTTTTGATCATTACCCCTTAACATTGATATATCAAAAAAAAAAAAAACTATAGTAGACAAATCATCCCCTTGAAATTTGACCTGCATTGCTTCTAAATCAATCCTAGGATGCACAATCATGCACCAAAATTCCATATATAGAGCAAAAAATGATATAAGAAAGTAACCTTGCACTTTGTATTCACATCACTAGCATTTGATCAGTATCTCCCTCATAATCCACTTCATACTTCTCTAGCTTGTAAACAAAAACCTTGATAGCCAGATAAACACTCGTAAGTTTTGCTGGGGAAAAAAAATCTAAAAGTATACCTTTCTGACACATCCATGAAGTAAAACAGTGTAATTCTTCTATAGTTCAGTATGAATCGAGCGTTCAAAATTCCATGAGTGTTGATGCAAGTCTAAGTAAAGGCTCCAGAGCACTTGGTGCAAATTTCCTTGCAAAGAGATAGCACATGCTAGTCTCCTCAAAGTTATAGCTACAGAGAGTAGCATTCTCTCTTATCGACTGGATGAATTCCTCCGTGATTGCCCTGTGCCCGTATCTTGCTGGGTGGGGCCCGCCCCTCGACCAGTCGACCCAGGTCACCGTCCTGTTCGAGTTCAGAGCTCCATAGAACATGTTCAAGTAAGTAGGGATATAATGCTCGTCCGGATAACAAGAGGGCTTGCAGTACTTTCTGAATAAATTATAGTACTTAAAGTCAGCAACAATGTTCACAGCTAATTCTCGGTTGAGCTCAAACCATTCTGACCCTTTTCTCCATTTTGAGAGCTTAATGTCGGGCCACATACGGCGACTGTAACGACCACGGCCACGAGGAGAGTCTTCGTCATAAGATTCGACGAAGCTGTGAATAGAGTTCACTAGATAGTTGTAGACGTTGGGGAAATTGAAGACGGGAATGCAGCTCTCAGAGATGAGCACAAAGCGTTCGTTGGAGAAATCTAATAGAGCATTGGCTAAGAGACGTTTCTCTGCGTCTACTAGTGATATCGAACCCCATGAGGTCTCCTGCGTATAATAAGCAAACAGGATGAATTATATGCCTTCTCCACTCAAATAATATGCATATGTAACTGAACATACGCTTACTGAATTACAGAATGTTGTATGTGCAAAGCACACTTGTCAGTGGCTCCAAGTTCTGAACATTCATTCGTATAAATTTAAACATAGCATGAAAGTAATTATGTATCTATGCTATGATGGAAATTCCTCAGGAGAAGACTGTTTTTGTTGGCTTTATTGACATCTTTTAAAAGAACTTGAAGTCCTTCAGAAATATGGCGGTGAGACAACAGAGCTTAAGATTAACAAAACTTTTATAGTCAATAACTATTAGTGCTAACAATAAAATTGACATGCTAAAGATCTTCATAGTCCCGACTGCACGAAGATGTCCAGACAATTATCCCAATATATATCCAATATATATGTATACAGATATATTTATATCTACCTATATGCACTTGCATGTGCACTGCTCAATGAGCATGTTGCTCTGTGCTATACTCTCAAAAAAAAAAAAGGATAAATATCATGAATCTTCTGAGAAGAATAAACTTTAAAAATTAGTCTAGAAGGCACCTACCAACAAGAAATAAGACTGATATTGTTACACAAGCACATAGCAGAAACCACTAAGACTGGTACGTACATCATTGGTTGGTGTTAGCCTTGATACGTGGTATGGCTCCATACATGCAAGCACAGGGAGTTAGTTGTAATAGTACTTAAATATTTGCTAAACCATAGTAAACTTGTCCTTTAAAATGGTGAGGCCACAATGTTGCTATGAACTGTTTATGGTTCATAATAGAACTGATTAGCATATGTCGGAAGCTGTTAGCCTCACATTCGTTCGCTAGAGTATCTTTTGCTTGCAGCCCACAAATTCTCTGGATGAAAAGCCAAGCTAACTTAAAGAACCTAGACCAAAGAATAGAAGCAATCTCGAGAATAGACGAATATCCCTGAGCCTAGATATGGGTGACAGTTCAAACAAGTGGAAATATATGTTTCTGCCCTTCTATAATTAGATTAGCACTACATCAAAAGAAGTTCTAAAGGACATTTGCATTTGCCATACCAACTTCATTATGACAGTGTAAGGATGACAACAAAGCTTTTTAACCAGGGTTTATTAGTCACCAATTTGATTACCTTTATGCTACAGGTATAAAAAAAAATTGATGGTTTTGACAGTTTCAAATCAGATGGTACACAGAATACTTCAGTTTAGTAATCAAATGTGCTTTTTCCTTTCCTTCAAATTGTACCACTAGACTAATAACAGTATTCATTATAATCAAACATACAAATCGTATGACTAGACAAATAATTTTATTCATTATAATCAAACAGAAAAAAGATATTTCCTCTGTGCGATCATAGAGAACGCACCTGAGAAGGTAAGCTAAATGAAAGAATTGTGCCGAAAGGAGGCAACTTGTAATTTTCAGCAAATTGTATGGCAATTAAGCTATATCCTTTCACGTAGAACTAACTAAGCATTGTTTCATGTCTCCCCTTTCCTTCTCTAGTACACCACGCCATCAACCAATTGAACAAACAAATAACCAATATAAGTTCAACCCAGGCTGTCAAAGAAATCATACTGAATCCTAAATGGTAGATAGTATTTCCATCATTTTAAAGGGTTACAGCTTTCTCTGCATCATATATTCTTAGCATTGCTTCTCTAAAGGTGAGAATTGGTATGAGAATTTAATGCTTGGAAGGTTTAACAAAATAGTCATTTTATAAACATTCCCACACAGTCCTAACTAAAATTTGAATATAAAACAAGAACAACTGGAGGCCAAATAAGTAGACAGTATGGGTGCTGTATGAATTTTCTTAAAATTAAGGTTTTTGTTCTGAAATATTTAATAACATACAATGTGATACTGAGTAGAAAAGGATATACTGCAGTCATATTTTGCTCATGGGGTTTCAAGCACAAGCCCTAGTAACTGCAACATTTAGAACAGGTTTCCTACAAATTTGATACTTTTCTTAGGAGTATAAAAGTCCTTCGAAGGAATAATGAACATTTATACAGGAGCTTTGGAAATTCTCAACAAAAAAAAAGAGAAAAAATTCTCAAAATATTTTGACGTGAAACGTTAATGTATCATGCCAGAAACTAATGATCCTCCAGTTTAATGTACATATTAGGTTTACCGTTTACCAAAGACATGAAAAAAAATCGCATAAGCATTTAATGAGTTTAGAAATGAAAATTAAATCAATGTGAACAATGACAAATCATCGTGAATATACATTAACAAAACATGTCTAGCCTAACATCTCTCATTTAGATCAAATCATAAGATGTCGATAACATAAGATCATTGTTCCAATGTAAGATACAATAGCGGGCAAAAGAAAAAGGTAAAGCTCTGTTAGTCAATTAGAAAAGAGGCAACCAAAAAGAGGAAAAAGGTTCCTCACACTTGACAATTTGTAAGAAATGACATGGCAAACCAATTAGAGAAAGAGTTCCACATGATTGACAATTTGTAAGAAATGGCATGACTAATCAATTAAGAATTCACACCTGTCGAAGTTTTTTTTTTCCGCATGCTACTTGAGTGAAAGAGTTGAAGGTAAGGAATAATGGACATTCTCCTAAAAGGGTTCTAAAATGTCAAAACATTATTCGTCTCAATCTAACATTTTAGGCCTACTTCTTTGGTCCTAAGAAATTGGTGAAAACCACAATTATCAATAAAATTTCAGCAAAGCACCACAATTAGCATTTCAATGCACAATTACGAACAAAAAAAAGCTATTTTCATTAATCATCAACGAATTAAACTATTTTCATTACTTATCAATGAATTAAGCTAGTGAATTTTACTCAAAATAAACTATTATGTTCATGTGCATGTCTATAGAATCATCATTCTGATTTATTCAATTAACAAAAATTTACATTTCAATGCACAAATGCAATGCTATTTTACTTACAATCATTCAGTTACACAATCTCTCGATGTGGACTAACAAAACTATCCAACATAAACAAGAAACACAATCATAAACCCATACCTCACTTCGAATCTGCCTCCCATAGAATGGAGAGCTATCATTGACAATAAGCTTATACCCGGGAAGAGAATGCACATAAATCGAATAAAACCCTTCGTGCCCCGCGAAAAACATCTCCCACAACTTCAACAATGGCAATGCTCCCCTCGTCATGAACATGAACGCAACCTTCGGAACTCTCTTAAATGGGAACTTCTCCTTCTTCGGCACCAATGAAGCCCTCCAAAAGAGCTCATCATCACTCATATCATGCATCAAATTGCTCGGGCTAACGAAACTCGCTAAGCTAGTGTTATCCTTGGCACAGTTTGTGGAGTACATTCTTTTAGGGAAGAAGAGCTCAGATTGTGTGTGAAAATAAGGGGTAATATGGGAAGTTAGTGATAATCCCAAAACAGCACCAGCCATGAATACAACCATGAAAGATACAACCTTTATCAACCTAATCGACCAATCTTCTTCATTCTTGCCTTTCGAATGATGACTCATCTCTGTTTTCTATCTAAAGTTGCGACCTTTTACAATTTTACAAATTGATGAACTGAATAAAAATTGGAGACTCTAGGGAGAGAGCTTGGATTCAAAAAGTGTAAAGATCGAACCTTTTCTGGGTATCCGCATTTGGGTTTGATCGAAGTTTGGATCGATTAATGGAGATCAGAGGTTTTGGTCGATCTGCGACAAAAGAAATGAGAGAGGGGGGGAGAAAGAGAGAGAGGAATGAAAACTTTTTGCCTCGGTTTAACGTTACATGATGTTAGTTATGACATGGAGGCTATTTTTAGGAGGTAATTAAGGTTTGGAGTTTCTAGATTGATTGCTTGAATTAATTAATTTATTAATAAAGTCGGTTTTTTCTTTTTCTTTTTCTTTTTTCAGGTTTATAGCGTGGGTATTATATTTGGCGGGCACCTTTGTTTTGGGGATATTAATAATGAATGGAGGGTGATTGACTTTTTTTTCCCCACATGTAGACAACTCTTAGCTAATATTTAGAGTACTGCTATAATAAAAAATTTATACTATTTCGATAATATAAGACCAGCGCACCTGGGATTTTCCTATTTCTAAAAGAAACTCACGTACCAGAGAAGTAATGCAAAAATTATGGCATCTAGCCCTTATCGTTATATCAAATTCATTAAAAAATAATACTTATATATTATAAATATATGATTTCTATTTAACTTATTAACATAACAAAATTAACAACGCGATCGGTTGATTGCCTTTATTTGTAGTTCTAGCTAATAGATAATTGTCAAATATTTATATTTAGTTTAATGTTATCCAAAACTATAATAAAATGTTAGTAGTATCAGTTTACTATTTCTATGAAAGATTGATATATAATGATCCGTTTAAATAGAAAGAAACAATTACCCAAAGTATATGAGATGGAGAATTTTTTAATGGTCCAAGGTGATTTTGGGTATTTTTTTTTTCTTCTGTTCAGGTGGTCCAAAGTGATGCTCATATTCCTTGCTAAAATTGCCCACTCTAAATGTAATAAGTGAAGGATCATGACAAGCACTTGCTCGATCATGGTTCACGCCAAACTACTCTTCCAACTATAATTTCATGATAATGGCCCCAAAAAATATTCCGTCTCTACCCTTTCAACACTACTTTATTTAGTGTCCAAATGAGCATTTCCAAATGAGCACTTCCAAAAATATATTTCCATAATGTTTGTTACGTCATTTCACTAAGTTTGGTTGGGACATGAGATACTGATGACGCCACAAAATTCCACTATCAACAAATTAATTGTTTTAAGCGGCAAACAAATATGTTATTGATGACGAGTGCGCACCCATTAAATTTTTGGGGAAGGGAAATGGTGGGTTAGGGTTAGGTTAGATACGGTGCCCACTTGAACATGACAAAATTTTTTTTAACTGAAAAATAGGGTGAGGTACCATGTTCATAAGATATATTATATAAAGATATTCAAAAGAAGTCTGATACAAGAACAAAAACCAACAACAGAGCCGAGAGGTAAGAACACAGTAGGGAAGTTGGTAAGGAGCGGACCTGGTCGTCACCTACCGAACTAACACTAATAGTGTTCTCACCCAAGACCAAAAAAACAAACAAACTAGATACTATGTAGTCTGATACATCAAGGCCCAAACACAGTAAAAAAGAAAAAGCCAACAACAACCATATCCTACTCAAAACACAGTGAGAACTAGGGTAGAGAGGAAGACTGGCCGCATCAACTGAAATCAGAGAGATTGTCCCCGAAAGCTCCATCGATCAGTACCCTTCATGGCGATTTCTTGCATTTTCAGATTTTTAGCAGCCCGACGAACACGTCTCGCCAGTCTATCTTCTTCACCCACTGTCCAGAACATGACATACCTAGCAATGTTAGCAGCGATATTAATAGGGTTTGCAGGGAAATCTCTAAATATGATATAATTTCTACAACTGATTGCATTAAAACTTGTAAGGTATTGCTTTTTGTTGGAGGACATAATTGAATTTATGGGGTATCATTTTCATGTAAGCCAATTTAATTACACCTTCATGTATTAAGGCAAATGCGGGGGAGGTTTATTTTTTCTTTTCTTTTTTTTTCTGTATGATTGTATTTTCTATAAAGATTTCTCAATGGATGGCAAAAAGATGACAGAGGGAAACTTTTAGCAGCAACCTTCTATGTTTGTGAAGAATACCAATTTACTGACTAAAAATAACAGAAGCAAATTTACCAAAAAAATTACATAATTAGGTATCCCAAACTTTGTTTCTAAGTTCATCATTTTTTTTCCTTTTTATTGTCTTAAATGCAAAACTATACTTACACATAAAATTTCTACCAATCACCCTCTTTGATACAACTATAGCTCAACAATTCACAAGAATCATAGACTCTCTTGCCTAACATAAACTAGCAACTACAAAGTGACCATTGGTAGATTAACTAATCAATCCATTATCACGCTATATACAAACTCGAGTAGCGCCCATCATCTACGGGTTAACATCTATAAGATCTTCCATTGTCTACAGTAAATATGGACATCTTAGTTACTTGGGCCCTGTTTGTCAAAGGGTTAAGAAGAGGGATTAAGAAGAATGATTAACATAGTTAGCCCATTCCGTTTGACAAAGAGTTAAGGTAGAGGGATTAAGGAGAAAGATTAACATAGTTAGCTCATTCGATAATCTGAAGGACTAAATTATTAACCCCTTATAAAAGTTTTATTTTAACCCTTATGATCATTTGTAGTGCTTGGGAATAACTATGTTTTACAATTAAAACGAAAAGTCTGGAAAGCTAAATACGTACTTTATTGTTTGACAATTTTTCATATTTTCTCTTCAATTTACATTAAATCAAATAAATTTTATTACGCCCAGTAAAAATTCTATTAGAACAATTACTTATATGATTTACATCGTTAATGTAGATCATCTCATTTTATGGAGTGTTCCCATAAAATCTTTACTCAGCCTTGCGAGAACCCTCATCCCAAAAGAACCAAACCCGAACTCGACCCGAACCAATTGTCACAAGAGGTGAGCGCTATCTTACACTCACCACCATCCTGCACCTCTCCGTGCTCAGACAAAGCCAGAACCAGTCGTTTCTGATAATTTTTTTCATCATCCTTTGTTTTTTATAAATTATCTGCTGTACAAATCCCTCCCTAAAAAATCATCAAATAAAAATAAAAATAGAAGAAAAAAAAAATCCACCATCGTACTTGAAATCGACCTCCTTTTTTCCCTTTTTTTCTGGAGCTCTAATTTTCTTCTTCTCTTAATAATCCATTCAAATGGGGATAAAAGTATTGGCCCTTTCCCTTCCCTCTCCAGCCTCTCACTGTAAGATTTTCTTCACTTCACCCTTTGAAATCCTTAAATTAGCCAAATTTAGAAGAACCCATGTTTTAGTTTTTGTTATGTTGAAGAAATTTGATGGCCCAGTTCTAAATTTGGGTTTTTTTTTTGTTGAAATTTAGGGGAGAGACTGTCATCATCTAATCAAGCCAGCACACGAGGAGTAATAGAGATGGGTGTTTTAGAGCTTGGCTCTTCTAATCTCACTCAGTCAGCTTCTTTATCTGCAAGGTATTTGTTTACTTATTAATTTATTTCTAGTATGATATCTGCTGCCATTTTTTTAATTGATTTTGGCATTGTTGTCATATGGGGGTTTGTTAATTAACTGACATTATTATATTCCTATGGTCACTTGGAGTAAAATAAGAAATTTGATGATTTCAGCAGTCAAATTTTGTATAATCAATCTATAAATCTCCTTTTCGTGCATTTTGTGGAGAGTGCATTACTTCTGCTGTTTCAGATGCAGAATTGCTTAGCTATATTCTTACCTGGTGCAATGTGAATAGGGGAAAAAAAAAACATTCAGTAACATGAAATGTGGGGTAGAATGCTATAAAAGTTGAGATGAATAGGTCAATTGTTATCTAAGGAAACTTGAAGAATAGGGTTTTGGGAGCAAATCTGCATCAAAAGAGTGATATGCATCTTACTCTCCTTCTAGTCAAACCTTATGTAGCCTTTTTGAGGTCCAAATTGAGAGTTCCTCCTAAAACTGGCAACTTCTCCATCACCATTATGGTAATTATCGTATCACCAAAAAGTAGAGTAAACCAATCACATGGAGGCTTCTTTGCTTATTGACAAACAAACTAGGACATGAATTGTAACAATCAATATTGTTGTGTATGAGGCAAGATAAATTACTGATTACTTTGTTGGTCCATGTTCTTATTAAAGTTCTTCTGATTTATGCTAGTACCTGCCGTCTGTGTTTCAAATGTTTGTATTGCTGGTTGTCTTCGCAAGCTCTCAAGCAATTGTAGTTATCAACAGTGATGTTGTGTCCTGTGATTATTGTTGGAAAATTGCATGATTATTCTTATCTCGCTTGTTGCAAATGATAATTAAAAAAAGGGAAAAAAAGATTTGTTGAATTTCTTCTTGAACTTGCTACTGCAAAAGAAGTAGCTATAACTCTTATCTATGTTTTTTGTGTATCACTTCAATACTTTCCAGCAACTAATGCAATAAAACCTGAGAAAATCTTCTTATTTTTCACTTTGCTATAACTGCAGATGTATTCCCAGACCAGCATGTACAACTCAGGCGCCGAACCAATTACCTGGACATCAGATGGAAGTTTGGAATAGATCATCTCGTTTAAAGAAATCATTAGTAGCCAAATATAACCCAACATTTCATGATCCACCTTCACATGGCCACAGGAGATCATTCGAGACACTTTCATCAGCTTCGGACGTAGTGATGACCTCTAAAGCTCAGGAAGTAGCAAGCACACTCCTTACTGGTAATGAAAAAGTTGGCGTATTGCTGCTCAATCTTGGAGGTCCAGAGACCCTTGAAGATGTGCAACCTTTCTTGTTCAATCTTTTCGCTGACCCGGTAAACCTTTTTTATGTTTCATTCATACTGTTATATTCTTGTGATTCTTGTTGATGTGCTGGAATGCGTCTAGGGCACTGCTGTATTAGATGTATCTTCCTCCTTTTGTCTTCATTACAAAAACTCATCAGGAAATTATTTGTGCTGATCTTACTGCTAGCATCACGAACTGGCTTTAAATATAATCTCAATTTTTCAAGTTTTTCTATTTTTTAAATATTTGAAAGGAAAGAAGAGATTGAGTTGGAGAATTTATTTTCAATGTTGGACCTAAAATTTATACCACATTAGCATTGATATTATTTGGAAGCCTTGAATAGAAAATACGAGAAATAATTCACTGATTTCTGAGACAAGGCTAATTAGCTGCTAAACCACAAAGATTTTATGGGTTAAGGCATTTTCTAATTGGATTTTTGAATGCTGTAAAATAATAGAAAAAACTACTATCTTAGCGAGATAGAAAAAAGATGAAACAATGATGGTCCCAATCTTATAAATCTCTTCATCAGTGATATGTCAACAACACTCTTGTAGCTTGCATATTCTTCTTGCAGCTGGTCTTGCCTTCATATGTTTCATCTTTTTTCTATTATGTCTAATCCTATTTTTAAATACCCTAACAATTGGTTATACTAAATTACAGGACATTATTCGACTTCCTAGGATGTTCCGTTTTCTTCAGAAGCCTTTGGCACAATTTATATCTGTTGCCAGAGCACCCAAGAGCAGAGAAGGCTATGCTTCCATTGGTGGCGGTTCTCCACTGAGGCAGATAACAGATGCACAGGCATGCTATCAAGTCATTTGTTAATATTAATAGTAGTATCTTTAATTGGTAATTCTTTTGACTTTGAATATGCCGTTTAGGCTTGAAAATAAGTCATGTGCACACCAAATTCCCTAACCAATTATGATGCACCTTTGTAGTTCCATGTTTTACCTGGATCACAGGGTTAACTAACACACAGGATTTGGTGATTGTTCTTCCCCTTTCTTTCATATAAACCAAAGAACATTTTTGCATACTTGATTTGTATGCAAGATATTCAAATTTCATAGAGTTTAATAATCATGACATCTCTGCCAAATTTTGGATAAGGCCCTTCTGCTTATTGATATGTTTCATTATTTTTGGGGCTTTAAACATTCTGACAACAGTTTCTGCTTCACCGTAATTTATGATGGTCTTGGGCTACATCTCCGGTAATGATTCATTTATTCTTTAAATCTATACAAGATACGTAGATGAACCTTCAACTCCCTATATCCAAATTGTTTGTAAATGTTTGCTCTAGATGGTAGAAAAAGAGAAGCTAACAATTATCTTTTTTTTTTACTTTTCCCATTTGAATGATGCTATCCATGTTTAATTTCCCTTTTTAGTGTACCTGAGAAGCATCATATTTGTTTCAATTTTCAAAGAAAGAAGATTTAATATAAACGTTGTTATTGTAATTCCTTCTTAAACTTTGCTATTGACGAATTGCAACTAGTTATTCATTCTTAACATTGATATATTTCTATTCATGTTTTAGGCAGAAGAATTGAGGAAGGCCTTGTGTGAGAAAAATGTCCCAGCAAAGGTGTATGTTGGAATGCGTTATTGGCATCCTTTCACTGAAGAAGCCATTGAACAGGTAAGACATTTAAACCAGAATGCACATTCAAAAAACAGTGTCTTACCGGTTATGTTGTACATGCACCATGATGTAATTGGATTTGTAGTTTAAATTATTTATTTTTTGATGCATGGCAATACCTAGTTTTGTGTATTTCCCTTCACATATAGACTAGCAGTGGTATGTGAAAAGAAATTCAATGTTCCCTCAGCAGAATTGCATTTATACGTAGATAAGCAAATGCTGCACACAGTTATTCAAATATTGCCAAAAAGATTTGTTACAAATGAAATATTCCTAGACCCACTTCACATTTTTCTTTTAATCTTTCAATAGCTAGGAAATGTGACTATGATAAATACCATTTTCTTTGGCTATTTATAGTATTTCTGAAAGGGACATTTGCTGCAATTCACACCTTGTGCAAGATATTCCATATCAGAGAAGTTAATGATGGAATGTATATGCTTCTCTTTGATTTTGCTGTATTTCTAGTTCCATGAAAAATATGTGAACAACAAGACAACTATATTATGAACTACTAATTAAATCATACAGTAGAAAATGCAATTATTACACCCTAATAATTAACTCTATCCTTCGACTTCTTACAGATAAAACGGGACGGAATAACAAAACTTGTTGTGCTTCCTCTTTATCCACAATTCTCCATATCAACTAGTGGCTCAAGCCTTCGTTTGTTAGAGGGTATATTCAGGTGGTGCAGTTCAACCTTCGGTAATGTTGTTGTGATGTTTTTATATGGCAATATGAATCTTATAACATTGATTTAGCTTTGTAGGGAGGATGCATATTTAGTTAACATGCAGCATACAGTTATACCTTCATGGTACCAGCGTGAAGGATACATTAAGGCCATGGTTAGTTTAATCGAGCAGGAGCTGCGTAAATTTGGATCTCCTGAAGAGGTACTCTTGCTTATTTGATTAATTTTATAACTTAATGCTATTTGACTAAGAGTATATGTTTACGCATTTACGTACTGGATTCCCTGAAGTTTATACCTTCATGGTACCCTTAGTAAAATGCTTGTCGTAGCTGTGGAATTATATGCAGATTCCGAGAACAGATGTATTGTACATTCCTTGCTGAGGAGTGTGGAAACGCACATGCTGTCATTGCCAAAAGACCTAAAATAGCATGCTTGTGTAAGTGAATTAAGACTCTAAAGAGCAGCTTCATAAAAACCCATAAAAAAAACTGTACTGAGCTTTTTCTATGACAAAAATATAGTTAAGCAGTATCCCCAAACTCTCAGATAAGCTCTTAGGCTATTTCCCTTGCTTTTTATACAGTGCACTCACTGGACTTGTTATGAGTGTAACACATGGATTTTTTTCCCTTTAGTAGAATGCTAATCGGTGGACAAACGCAGAGAGACTGGCTAGAAAAGATCTTACTCTGCTGCAGATTTTTTGAACTTTTTAGAGAGAGTGGAAAGAGTTATCTTAAACAAAGTATGCCAGTTGCTAAATTGATGGTAAATTGGTAATGAAATTGAGAACTCTAACAAATTGAGAACTAAGGGATGATTCACTCCTGGAGAACATAGTTATGACATGATTGCAAGCAGGAGATGATCGTAAAATTTGAATACAACTTAAATGTTCATATTTGATAAGTGAGGATTTTCTGCCTAAAAAAGATTAGTGGAAATTAAAGAAGACTTAATTAAATCTGATTACATGAATTTGGTGTTTTACTGGGAATAGAACCCTGATTGTGAGGACTTTGAGATAGAAGTTGAATATGTAATACTGATGAGTTAAACCTGCAAGCTTTTAAGTTCCTGTTGTCTTCTTTTCGTCAATAGTATTTGTTCTTTCTCTTATCTACTCTCTAGTATGCTTTCTTCATCCATTTTCAAGCTCATAGCATCATATGCTTTCTCCTTTCACTGTATGAGCTGTTATTATTATATTTCATAATCCAGTTTGTTGACTGGTTTTAGGTTAGGATTTTTTTTAGTGCTCATGGAGTACCTCTCGCATATGTGGAAGAAGCCGGAGATCCATATAAAGCAGAAATGGAGGAGTGTGTGGATTTAATAATGGAAGAACTGGAAAAGCGAGGAATCACAAATGCATACACCCTTGCCTACCAGGTAATGAATCATTGATTTATGCTCCCTCCACATACTTTTCCTAGATATAATAACAAGAAAAGAAGCCCACCAACTCCTGTATCTTATGCATTTTATGCCTTATGTATTGAATTTCATGTCGCAACTGACTCGCAAGTCTTTAATTAACTAAAAAATTTCTAATTTTTTAAGTTCCTATTTAATATAACAATTTACTTATATACGGTTAAGTTTGAATGAGTGTAACAATTTTCAGAATAGTTCCTTAGTTAATATTTTCTAAAGTTTTTTTTTTCTGATTACCAACATTTATACCTGTAGGGTCTGATTTTGCTTATGTATACCAAGTGTAGGATCGTGATCCTTAAGAATAGAATGCACTCTTATAAAAATCTGCGGAAGCTTTACACTTAAACACTAGAGGGTGAGTTTGCAAAGTAGATTATAAATTGCAAAGAAAGAATGACAATCTCAGAAAATGAACATCACAAACACAAGCATGTATACTGGTTTCACCTTCCTGGTGTACATCCAGTCCCCAAGCAAATTCCGCTTGAGAGTTTCCACTATGATTTTGAAACCTTACAAAATCAAAAGCAAACCTGACCAATTTGCAAGACCATGCAAATTACAAACCCAATTGACAAGACCATGCCAATTGCCACCCAATCTCTAAACCAAGAGATCAACCCTCTCAAACCCGAGAGAAATCATTTTTGAAGCAAGAACACAATTGATCCTATAAGCCTTGAATGTGTAGTGAAGTGTAGCAGTAGCTTAGGATTCTTTTAACTCTCTGAATATTGCTTATACAATCTCTAAGAATGATTGAAACCAAGGCAATATCAGAAACTCTCTTTTTCTAAACACTTAGCATGAAAATCTGGAAAACTAGAGAGTGAATATGCACAAATGTTTGATCTTATGTGTATGAATTAGTTCTGCAAATTTCTGAACTTATAACCTATTTATAGCCCTTGAAAAGACAAGTTTTTAACCCCTAAAAACGTACACAAAACGGATATAAACAGTCACTTATTCAAAACCTGAAATCTGAAAAAACCGTATCTGTAGTCGATTACAAGTCATAGTAGTCGACTACACTGAGTCTAAACAGACTCTGTGAAGTCAGAAAATTACTTAGTAGTCGACTACAAGGCATAGTAGTCGACTACACTGTAAACTCACAGATTCTGGAATTTTCTTTTTAGTATTTTGACTGTAATTTTCTCATCCGATATCAGAATGAGGTGATTTAAGATTTGTTGAAAAGCTCTTGAAGAGACCTACAACTTTGATCTTTTGACTTTTTCCAGATTCTAATTGATAAAGGGTATAAATGAAATGTTTTAAGACTCACTCAATATCTATAAACTCTAATGACTAACATAAGGGATTTCTATTGTTAACCAACACACTAAGCATGTGTTAGTGTGTTCTAACACTATGTGTGTGCATGTTTGTGAGTGATCAAGGTTTGTACAAATTTCTAAGCAAAGAAAATATAAAATTACATTTTGACAATAAAGTATATCTTCTTCTTTGCTTCATTTTGCCTTGAACTCATCTATGTCTTGAGTATCTCTTTGAATATAATTGTTGATATAGCTCTGATACTGCAAAACAAATGTTAACACATAATACACACAACATATAATATTTGTTATCATCAAAATAAACTAATCTTGGGGTCAAGATTCTTAACAATACCTACCTTAAATTCTATGGCTGAGTTAACAGAGCCGAGTTGGACCGGTGGAATGGTTGAGGCCATATACTGATGAGACAATTATCGAGCTCGGGCAGAAAGGAGTTAAAAGCCTTCTAGCTGTCCCAATTAGGTACCTTTATATAACTTCATTGTATGGGCATACAATATGTTTGCCTTCTAATTGTTTGCTCCTTGGTTCTCAGTTTTGTGAGTGAGCACATTGAAACCCTTGAAGAAATTGATGTCGAGTACAAAGAGCTCGCTTTAAAGTCTGGCATTGAAAAGTGGGGGAGAGTTCCTGCTTTAGGATGTGAACCTACGTTCATTGCAGATCTTGCAGATGCGGTAATTGAAAGTCTTCCTTATGTTGGAGCAATGGCAGTCTCAAATCTCGAGGCTCGTCAGGTAAATAAATATTTCACTTAACTGGTTTTTGATTGGAGATATTATCTTTCCTGAAGGCGAAGTTACCGAGATTGTTTAGAAACCATCATGCTTAGGCGTTTACTTTTCCCATGAATTGAACTCAGATGAAAATAGAGAAAAGAATCAAGTTTTCTTCTGAGGCGAAGAATGCACCAACTAAACCATAATTTTGTACTCAACTTGTTGAATCTTTATGAGGAACACATCTCCAAAAAAAGTTAATGAAATAACCTGCGTTCTTCGCTCTTGACATTGAGAACCCTGCTACATATATTTATTCTTCTTTGATATTCTCAAGAAACTGCTTTGTCTCTTGGGACATGAGTTTTTGAATTCATCCTTAGATCATCTTTTGACTCAGTCCTTCCTCAGGATTATTTCAACTTTTCAAGGATAGATAACCATCATCTACTTCGCAAAAGAAAGCGTAAATTTCACAAAACTACCCTGGATCAAGCTTGGGGTGTTTTGCACAAAACCACCACAATCTTTTAATTATTATTATTACAGAACCATCCATGATGGCGGTTAGGATAAGTTGTCATGTGCTTCACATGTTTTGGACAATTTTGCCCTTACGGACTTTAGTGGGAGTGTTTCAGGTTCGGGTTGATATTAAGTTATTAACAAGGGTAGTTTAGAACTTTTATCCAAGACGTTAATACCGTTGGCAACCGTTTTCAGTAGTTCATTGTATTTTTCCACAATTTTGAATTTTTTAGTGGTTTCATCTAATAGAAAGTTTATGGCAGTTTTGTTTAAACCCCCCAAATTCGCGGTAGTTTTCTGAAATTTACCCTGAAAAAATACTAGCTCATGCGGCTTTAGAACAACTTGTCTTGGTTCTTGAGAAGTCGTCTATGTTGCAGTCTCTCGTCCCATTAGGGAGCGTGGAGGAGCTACTGGCAGCATACGACACCAAGAGAGGAGAGCTTCCTCCTCCGGTGACTGTATGGGAGTGGGGATGGACCAAGAGCGCCGAGACATGGAATGGGCGAGCAGCGATGTTGGCAGTGCTCGCTCTCTTGGTCTTGGAAGTCACCACCGGCCAAGGCTTTTTGCACCAATGGGGAATCCTTCCCTTGTCTTGATGACAACAATGATGGTGAAATTAAAGGTGAAAAAAAAATTGTTCGTCTCTTATCGTTATATAACTGTTATGGATTTTTCGATATGGGTATTTCTGTTGATTATTTACCCTCAAATGTCTTCATAACAGTGCTCTAGAATACACGAAGACATCGTTATCAATTACTATATATTTTATATGTACTGGAATGTGATACTCAAACTTGCAACATTTAACCTGGACAAGGAAGCAATAGTGTTTTTTTAACTTGTTATTGTTCCATTCGTTGGCTCATATGGCAGTTTATATAGTCATGATGTTTGGATAGAGATGTGTAATTTTTTTTATTGGGACATATGAACAGATTTTGTCAAGTTGCAAGTGGCTTGAGAAAATCAAGCATATCAGATTTCTGAATCTGTACAGGCTTCAGTCTTCTTCTGACTCTTCCTGAAAAAACCAACCGAGCGCTTCAAGATTCAGGATGAGAAATGAACTGACATAACATTCGGCTATGATACCAATTGTTGGGAACCAGTATAGATTCCGCCTTTAGGGTATTTCTGTGGAAAATTGTTTAGCGGGAAGCAAACAAAGCACAAACGAAAACTAATATGCGACACAAAGCAAGAAAGACGAGATATACGTGTATGTAGGCACATTGCTGAACCTCGCAAAGCTCGTCTTTCTTGCTTCATGTTACAAGCTAGTTTTCGCATGTGCTTTGTTTGTTTCTCGCTGACAGTTTTTCGGCACTAAACCCTAAAGGGTGGAAGCTCTACCGGTTGCCAACCGTATTCTCTAATGAAGTACTACAACTAACCTTACGTAGGTTAGAAGGAAATTAAAATGTCAATGACCTTATTGCATATAACTAGAAGATATAACTAGTAAGGAAGATCAGAACCTATCAAATTATAATGTTACTCAGAAATCTATTTTTCTTAATCTAGTTAGAGAGCATCAAACTCTAACAAGAACCACACCGGAACTAAAATCAGAATCTCTTTCCCCGGGAAAAAGTTAAAAAAAAAAAACAGATAATACATTATTTGATACATATCATTACAACATTCAATCTATTGCAAACTCATTCCAAATTGTACTTCATTAAACACAAAAAGCAGGGTTCGCACTATGTAGACATCACCATCCGAGACGGAAAAATCCATCTTATTTCTGTTTGGGGGCAAGACTTCATCTCGGTCGTCAAGCATGCGCTTCTTGCTCCACTTTTTCACTTTGGAAGAGTATATCGACCAACCGTTCCCTCTACGTTGGTCGACAGAGAGCACGGTGAAGTGAGGCGAGCTGCGTGGTTTGAAACCTAACATTGACGGTGCGAACCCTGCTTCTGGGTGATCTGGAAGGATCACCCACGACTTTGTAACAGGATTGCACACGTAATGCACATGATGCCATTCGCGGTCTCTTGCTGAGACGAGAAGAAGGCCATTGCAGCAATCGAGGGATGGTGATAGCCTCGCGCAGGGGCAAGAAGAGAAGGGCGGAATCGACATTGATTTTATCGGTGGGGTTGGCTTTGAAATACTCGATTGTAGAAGGGTGGTACTGAAAAAAGTGCCCGGCGGTGGGGGTTGATTCTTGGAGGATAGAGCGGGGTGATTATGTACAGCCATGATTTTGATACCCACTTGGACCTGTGGAGTGATTTCAAAGGGAGTAGGGAGAAGATTTTGATGACGATGTCTTGAGGAAAGATTGAGAGAAATGAGTCTTGTAGATCCATGGTAATCAACTTAATTGTGGGTTTTGATTACACTAATTGAATCTTAGCCATATATATATATATATATATGAGAGATTAATCTGGATTTTTTTTAGTAACTAAACTTGGTGAGCAAACTAAAATTTATCAAATACAAACTTGGCGCGCAAGCTAAGAAAGGCAAATTCTGCCCAGGTCAGACCCCCGCACTCAGTAACCGGTTGGGTCGGGTCACCACTGATTGGATCTTCCCGACCGGACCCATTTCATGTTTGGGCCGGGACTCCGAACGGCTAAAAACTCTCATTCGTGTGCCAAGTGATTTGTTTATGTTGAGATTATTAATACAGAAGTATAGACCTATATTGGACATAGGATAATAAAGAGTTATAGAAATGAGGTTAATAACTATAGCTTTTTGGTTAAAAATTGATTCCTAGGATCTACGTTTAAAATCCATCAACTCTCATTCGAGCTGGCTAGCTTTCTCCCCAACAATTTGCTAATTTATCTTTGGCAAAATTTCTCTACCGCTATCACCAAAATTAATAAACCATAATCACCTTCATCCTAACAAAAAAAAAGTCAAGTCCCAATTTTTTTTCGGAATTTTTTCGATGCTCAAACTATATGGTGGATTTTTGTCTCTATAATAATTATAGGGTTCAAATTTCGTATAATTTTTTTATACTGTAAGGAGGTGTTTGGTTCAATTTCTATAAATTATAGGAAATGTTTTTCACCCAAAATATGATTTCATTGTATTTCTTAAAAAATTATAGGAAAAGGTTTGAGAAGTCAAAAAGTACCAATTTTTTTATTTTTTTTATTTTGCTTGTTTGGTTCAAAACAAGAAAATAACTCATAACTTTATAGAAAATAACAATATTTTCTATAATTTGTAGAAATTGAACCAAACACCCCCTAAATTTATCGAAAAATGCCAACTTTATAGAAAAATGTCAACGTGGTGTCAGATTTTTCTGGGTGATTTTCGTCCATTTTGAGAGGAAATTGATTTCTGTAAATTTTGGTATTTTTTTGTATTTTACAGAAAATATTTCTGTAAATTTTTTTGAACCAAACACAGTTTATAAAAATCTACAGAAAATTTTTAATTATAGAATTGTCATAGTCATTTTGAGAAAAAATTTCTATAAAATTGTGCAACCAAACACCAAGAACGTAACGTAGGCTTATGAAATGAAAATTTTAAATTAAGATACGAATGCTAATTAGGCTACACTCTTCTGGCATTAATTACAAGAGAGAGAAATGATGACCTTTTTTTTTATGAATCATAGACTCTCTTTTCCTTTTCGTGACCTCCTCCTTCGATCTTCCCCGTGAGCCACGTGATTAATCACCATCATTATTCCCATCATTCATATTAACCACTATCACCTACTTACGTTAACTTGGTCCCAAAAAAATATTCTAAAAGAGGATTATGTGTCATCACATTTCACATTTGTTCATACATACATATACATATACATACATTATTATATTATATTATATATTATATTATATATTATATTATACAATATTAGACGAGCGAGTTTTCTGGGGTAGTATTGATCATAATATAACTCTCATAAATGGTAAAGCTATATCCTAATATATCATTAACAATTTTAAGAAATACAGCGATCTTTCCACGGTTTACAATTCACTTGAGCGTAACTATATTAAGGCACTGTTTGGCAACCAAAAAAAGTGTCTTATCTAAGACCTTGTGTCTTATTGACTTGGTCAATAAGCTAGTAGAGCTGTTTGGTGACCAAAAATAGGAGGAGATTATTTTGGAGATTGTGTCTTTTGCAAGTAGCTTTTGGAAAACTATCTCAAGTAGCGTTTGTCTTTGGGAAGGAGCTGTCAATTTTTTTCTTTCGTTTTTGCCCCTAATAATTCTAATTTTATATCAATAATATTGCATGACCTTTTTAGTCATTTAACAAATTTAAGCTAGTTGTACAGCTTCTTTTGCCAAACAACTATAGTTAATCAGCTAGCTACACAGCTATCAGCTTTCAGCTACAATTTCACAGCTTTCAGCTAGCTTCACAGCTTTCAGCTATAATTTCGCAGCTTTCAGCTAGTTTTGCCAAACAGAGCCTAAATATTATCCCAGAGGTAGCTGAACACAATACATACATTATACGTGTATTGTTACTATTATTATTGTTATTATTATTATTTTGCTTTTTGAGGCTTGACTTAAAAGTTAATCACCTTTTTTCGGAGGGGAGGGGCCGGGGGGCTCCATGAAATAAAGATGACCTTGACAAGGTTGATATTTGCTAAATTAGGTTAATATTTAATGCTACGTGCATGAAACACGTGTAATAAATCATAGAGTTAGATTCTTGTTATTGGTCAAATTAAATGGTCACAAAGAGGAGACGATTCTTTACCTTATAATTAGATTAGTGCAGTCAATTCCCCCCTCTTTTAATTAATGAGAAGATTATCTCTGTTTCCTCTATGATTTGAATATTCTTCACTTCTTAATTATTAGGCAATGGAAAGTCCACTTTTCAACTTGTATCTATTCATTTTGAGCTTTGCTATAGGGACCCAAAATATGGGACCAATAAGGAGGACAAGTGAGGTGTCCCCCTCCTATTGGATAATGAGTTGGTCATCATTAATGATAGCCAACTCATTATCTAATAGAAGGGTGACACCTCACTTGTCTTCCCTATTGGTCCCATATTTTGGGTCATTGAGGAATTTTTCATTTATTTTTGGTATCTTTGACCATTGTGATTTATTTCAAATATATAAAGATACAATTGTATCTCCACAAGTCGTCTTTATTATTATATATTATTACAATTATTTATTTATTTATTTGGCTCAAAATAGACAACTCTTTACAAATAAGTAAATAGTCACCAAATACCAATCTCAAAGTCTTATATTTGTCCTTTTCCTAACAACAACAACAACCACAACAACAAAAAAGAGAACTCTATTTGAAAAGTTGCTCTAATATATCTTCACTATTTCTTGGAAATTTTGCCTGCTCTATATTGTTGGGTATCTACTCAAACACCAAGTTAGGATAAAGTTTTTAATTCTTTGTATAACTTCATGAGAACTAGATAAGGTCAGGGATCTATCATGATTAGGACTTTGGGTTCCATCATGATTGGGAGTTTGAATCTTATTCTAATTAGGAAGTTAGGCTAGAGATAGGGTTTTTGTTTCTTTATATATATTATTCTATTGTTAGAGGAAAAAGAAGAAGGAGAAGAAAAAGAAGTGTAGAGAGAAAGAGTAAGAGAGGGTTTGGCAGTCTTTGTTCGTGCAAAAGATTATAATTTGAAGGTGATAGTGAATTGATTTTGATCCCGTGGTTTTTCTCCGTTGAGGGTTTTTCCACGTTAAATCTTGTGTGATTTTATTTGCCGCGTTTGGTGGTTTTTTGTGGGTTTTTGTGAGATCTAAAAATCCTTACAAGTGGTATCAGAGCGGGGTTCGACGGTTCGTGGAGATTCGAGATTTGCAACGACATTGGTGGCAACAGACTGTAGCAACAGCACTGCTCAATGCGGGTACTGTAGCAGAGGAATTGTTCACGGCGACGGAACCGTTCATGGTACTGTTGTTTGTGTCAAAAGTTGCTTTTTCCATTGCTTTCAAACATGTTACATCGTTTATCGATTACAAGTTCAAACTGAAAGAAAAGTTGATCTTTTTATAAGATCTTCTTACAATGAAAAATAAAGATTACAACTTTATCAAACAAAACGCAGCAGTAGTTTATCTCCCGCTGCTTTGCGTGAGATCTTTGCCTGTGCCGGAGACGCAGTAGTCCGTGGACCACTGCAGATCAAACCTGATTGATAGTATAACTACGCTCTTGTTCCACAAAGGAAACAATTGCGGAAGCGACAATCACGACCAAGCGAGATTGTGGCTCTTCTCGAGATTAAAACCAAGTTTAATCTGGAGGAAAGAAGGGGAAAGAATTACAAACCTTTCGAATGACTTTCTTTATGAAAGTATTCGCCAAGATCTGATGATTCTCCTCTGAAATACGTGGTTAGCTGGACAATTTGACAACACCTCGCCTCTTCAATTTCAAATCCTCTTAAAGAAGACCCTAGGCTTCTATTTATAGGCTTTTGGAGACGTGTTTTTGGATAAGAATTGATGTCTAAGCGTTATCTGTAATTAATAACCGCTTAAACGCGTTTAGGGATAGCCTCAAAATAGTTGGGGAGGCCCTGGGATGAAAGAATCCTTAAAAATCATCGAAATCCGCGTTTTGGGAGTCTTGGGAGTCAAAAAGAGTCGTGGTGGCTCGGGACTGTGCGAGCCACCATTTGGTGACTCGCATGGGTGCGAGTCACCATTTGGTGGCTCGCACTCGTGCGAGTCACCATTTGGTGGCTCACGCCTACGCAAGCCTCCGGGTGTGTTTTTGTTTCTCTTTTTGATACTTCGGCGATTCGTGACTCCTCAAGTTCGCTTGTTTTGTGTACGGTTCATCGTTTCGCTGATTTGCACATTTTACTGATCAACTTCGTATGCTTACTGGTGTTGGGTAAATTCCCTTGACTCGAAAAATAACGTTTATCGTCTTCTCATTGTCTTGAACTATGTTTGGGAAGCTATAGGTAATTTTAAAGTCTACAACTGTAGCAGCAGGTAGTGTAGCGGTGACAAATCCGACGGTTGATGTTGATTTGTCTTTTGATCGAGGATTTGGAGGCGTATTTCGATGATCCAGGAGTCGTTCCTAGGGTTTTTCGACGTGCTGAGTTTGTTTTTGATGTTGGTTTTATCAAATTCAATCTCTACAGGGACTGATTTGAATTTTGATCATGGTTAGAGGATGATGACTTCTTCGGGTCCGAAGTTTGATATTCCGCTATTCAATGACAAGACAAATTTTGTAGTATAACAGTACACGGTTCAAAATATTCTTATATAGTAGGGTGTTGATCAAGCTTTGGAGGAGAAGAAACCTAAAGGATTGAAAGATGCTGAATGTAGTTCCATGCAAAAGAGGGCGGTTAGCACAATTCGTTTGACACTCGCCCCCCGAGATCAAGTATAATATTATATAAGAGACCACACCAAGGGGGCTATGGGAAAAGCTCGAGGGGATTTATGCGTCGAAGTCGATGACCAACCGATTGTGTTTGAGGATAGAGCTTTGTTCGTTAAAGAAAAAGAAGGTACTGCAATTCAAGATCACATCAATGCCTTTAATCAGTTAGTTTGCCAACTTATGAATATTGATGAGGAGATTAAAGAAGAAGAGACATCAATGCCTTTAATCAGTTAGTTTGCCAACTTATGAATATTGATGAGGAGATTAAAGAAGAAGAGCATGCGCTACTCCTATTGTCTTCCTTGCCATATTGATGAGGAGATTAAAGAAGAAGAGCATGCGCTACTCCTATTGTCTTCCTTGCCGAAGTCGTACAAACCGTTAGTTTAGATGATAATTACAGGGAAGCAGACTTTAAAGTTCGATGATGTGACAACACTCCTACGTGAGAATGAAAGAATGATGGGAAAGGAGAGCACATCTAATGGTGGTGAGAGCGCACTAGATTTCGAAGGTTCTAATTGACAGAGGATTACAGGGAGATGTGACAATTATCGAGGAAGGTCAAAATCTCGGGCCCGAGACGACAGCGAAAAGGAGTGCTATTATTGCGGAGAGAAGGGTCATATTTAGTTCAGATGTTTCCAGATGCGTGATGATTTGAAGAGTATTAGACAGATGAAGCTTCAAGAAAATGGGAAGAAGACAGACTCCTCAGTGGTTGTGTGTGATAAGATGTGGTTTTATTGATGCAGAGTATAAGTACTGATGCGAGTAACACTTAGGTGTTAGATTCTGCAGCTTCTATGCACGTTTGCAACAACAAAAATGATTTTAATACATTAAAAACAGATGAAGAATTTGACAACGTGATTGTTGGAAACAAAGAGAAGATGAAGGTGTTGGAAGTGTTCGCCTCAAGCTTCACACTGGAAAGGTCGGAATTCTTCATCATGTGAGATATGTGCCGACATGTGGTACTAATTTAATTTCGTTGGGTGAGATGACATCACGTGGGTACAAGTATGTGGGTGAAGAAAAGTGGTGCAATGTGTATAGAGATGGCGATTTGATTCGTATCCTTAAAGTTTCATAAAATTTTAATATTATTTAGTGCAAAATATTTATAATAATCATAAAATATTGGGCTTTTACATGAAAACTTTGTTAACTTTTATTCAAATTGATAAGTACCATATTTTCTTTTTATTTTTTAATCAAAATCATATTTACTCGCATACATGTTTGCAATGTCACGCTTAATCGATTTTTCAGCTTAAAAAAGACACGGACTTCTGAAAATACCCTCACTCAACACATGCAAATTGGGGTGCATTCGGTCTGGGTACGACTTGGATATGGTACTTGCCATATTCATATCCACTTACCTATCTCGAATATGGATGCGAATACATATATAACTCGGTAAGAAAAATTCATATCAATATCCGCTAAAATCGGAGACGGATGCGGATACACATGTGGATATATAAGCAGATATGCATGCAGATATCAAAAAACTAGATAGTGTTGAAAAAGTATAGTTCATTTGATACAAAAGAGTTCATTAATATGTTTATTATATCTGAAAAGCTAAGATTAGATATCTTGATTATCAAAATTAACCTCAAATCCATATCTAAGGATTAAAACCATCATAGCAATATGACTAATATGTATTTAGTTATTTCGGACAAGGATCTGCATATTTCACTACAAAATCATACAATAACCATATTCTATCGATTATGGTTTTAAGTAACCATATCCGTATGGTAACAGATATAGTTAGAGATATTTTCTCGGATACGGATACGATTAGCACCCCTATGCGCAAACCATGTGTGTCCCAATTTATTATTAAAAAAACAATATTAGTCCCCCAAATATTTTAGATTGTGATATTAAGCCCCCAAATCTATCATATTTTGAAATTAGTCCCAAAATTGATGTCATCCTTGCCGGAGAGGACTATAGGGAGGTCGAGATCTTGATTTTTGCTCCTCATCTAGGGTTTCGAAGGTTATTTCTTGGATTAAAGGGCGGAAGACCGAGAAGATTAAGGGAATGTGAGGTTGGAGGTTGGGGGAGGATTAAGGGAGGGCTTTCTTGGATTGGAGGTTGGGAGGGATGGAAGATTGAGGGAAGGTAACGTTAGTGTTTGGGTACAATAGGATTTTCACACTTTTTTAGCTAAGAAATCAATTAGGTGTGACATTGTAAACAAGTATGCAAGTAAATGTGGTTTTGATAAAAAAAAAGCAAATATGGTAAATATCAATTTGGATAAAAATTAATGTAGTTTTCACGTGAAAACCGTAAAAGAATCAAAATATTTTGTCCACATGCAACGCACGTGCATCCCATCTAGTCATTATAAAAATATCACATACTATCAAATAAAAAGGCCATGCATTAAAATTTGCTTATTATTAATGCAAATCATTAATTATTCATTTATTATCAGAAGGCTATCATGAACTTCCAAACATCAGCATAAAACAATAATAAGTTCCTAATAGCGTTCAATACATTTCTGTTGATTTCAATTTATAGTATAAATAACAATTATGATAATTCTATCCAAAATCTAATGGTTCATGAATCATGATAGTTTTGAAATTTATCTATCAAAATCCACAGGGTAAGTTACAACTTACAAGAAAAATCCTTTCATGCATTAAAATGTCAAACAATACCAATAACAAGAGACAAGAGAAAATTCAATTTAACCACGTCGTAGTATGCATCACAAATGTTTGATTAATATTATTATATATTATGAGGTTTTTTATTTCTTGAACTTAGACGAGAGAATTTCTTAAAAAATCATATCGGCTAAACTAGACGGTTGGCGTATTTCAATACAGTTTTCGGATGGCACTACAGACACACCCCCAAGACACACCTTGTGCCACACCTCCTCTCTCAGTTACATTGCACGGGACCCACACATGAGATTATATTTTAATCTCATGTGTGGGCCCCGTGCAATGTAGCTGAAAGAAGAGGTGTGGCACAAGATGTGCCCGGGGTATACATGTACCATTTCCATAGTTTCCAAAATTATCAGGTTCAATCTTGGACTGTTTTTTTTATTTAAAAAAAGGGAATTTCCTGCAACTTCCAAAATTTTCTCTTGTGTTGTTACCTTCCAAAAATTAGGCCATGCCTTTGTCCTAAATTACCGCCACTGACTTAATTTTTTTTCCTCTCTAGACGTTACCACTTTTTCTCGAGTCACTCTCATGGCCCCTTCACATAATCGGGAGTCTCGTGCCCAAAACCCACGAGCCCTTTTTTATTATTATTATTATTTATTTTCCCTTCTCTTCTTCTCTATTTCTGTTCTCAGCTCAGAGACGAAGAAACCCACTAAAGAAGAAGGAAGCGGTTTATATATAAACGAAGGCATTGGAGCCTTTTAATGCTCTAAGGTGGGTATCTGATTATAGAAGAAGACCGAAGGTATTTGTGCAAAATTGATGCTTCTCTGTTCTTTTTTTTCTTCTTCTTCTCATTTTTAGATGGCACATTTCCATGAATTCTAGCTGCCGGTGTTGAATGAAGAAATGGGCAAGTTCTTGTTTTTGCTCTTATGGAATACAAAAGATCATTGCTTGAGTTCTCTCTGATTTAGTTTCTATTTTTAGGTGGGAGTTGTTTCTGACTATTATTTTCTAAAATTTCCATGAAAGTTGGTTTCTTTGTTATTTAAAATATTATATTCTTGATTCTTTCTCTCCGTCTCAGCGTTTTCAAGCTGATCACGGGATAAGTTCTTCGAGTAAGCTCGATCTTTTTGATGTAAAAATAGTGTCATTTACGGGTCCTTTAATTAGTTACTTTTATCTGCAAATACCAAAATGAAATCCGAACTTTTTTAAGTTCTGAGGACTGGGAAGAAATTTCGGCCCATTTCAGTTTGGGTTCCTGA